AGGCCAAGAAAGAAACTTAGAGGACTTAGACTACAAGGATAAAGCTTTAAGATGATATATATTTTGGTCTGTAAATATATCATACAAGACTTTCTTAAAGGCCTTTCAATGCATCATGACAGCTGTTCAGTGGTTTGCATCGCATTTTTGACAAAATAGCTCAAACTCTTGTAAACCTGGAAGTGCCGCTTATAGCAGGCCAAGATAGAGAATTGGAGGAATTAAAATACAAAGATAAAGCTTCATGATGATGTACATTAGGATTTGTAAGTATAAATGGCAGACCTGTTCATAGACCACTGAAGTCGACCTTTATTTTACCTCTGTGAAAGAGACACGGAGTACTTTATTTCAATGGGTTACTATAATTCAGACTTAAACGTAACAAAATTACAAGAAATCAATATTTTCTAAGAGATTTACGGACCATCTGCTAGCATACAAAATTTAAAAGTGGGATTGCATCGCGTTGTAGCGTACAAAGTTGCCGAAGTTGCATAATTTTTCATTGCTGTACAGGGGGACAACTGTCCTTTAGGCGTATTTCGAACTTTTCAATCTTTTGGAGAAAAAAAAATGTGATCATAGAACTTTTTGATATAATTTTCGAAAATGGGTTATTAAAAGGATCCTTTAGAAAAATAAAACTAATTATGAAATTTTGTAACTGTCGGCGGATTCTCGATATTTATGGTCAGTGGCTCTTAAATGTGACATCCTGTGAAAGTCCTCTACCATCAACTTGTTCAACCATTCAAACAATAGGAATTAGAGAGTAATGTTCCATTTATGCAGAAAATCAAACAGACACATTATGCCATTATTAACTGCAAAGAATGTCATCCTGATGTACTGAACATTAAGAAATGAGTCAATTGACATTTGTCTGTTAAGTTATAATATCTTATATCTCGTAAATTTGTCTAGTTCTATTATTATTATATTTATTAATTCAAAAGTCTGTTTTTATTCACAAATCAACTCGAAGTTTACAGCGAACCTTCAGTGCGATCTTTACTATATTCTGTATTTCATTTTTGGTTACCTTTTCAACTGCTTTTATTAACCCTTTACACATTTAACATCAGTATACATATTCTCCATACTGTTCTATATACATTTCTTAAGGTGCTGACAAGGAGAATTTTTTCGTTGGTGTTCATTTCCTTTATTCTTTTGACCCTTGTGTTTGTATCTGGGGCAAAATTGTAAGGAGAAATTAGATGCTAGTCATTCTCATGGATCAAAGGGTTAATTTTTTCATATTGCATCTATAACTGAAAACAAGGCCTGCATAACTTATAGTTAATAGACAACTTGACTACCTGCAGGTCCATGTTAATGTAAGGTTGTAATATTGAATAAATTAAGCGTGAAAAGTGTGACTGTATAATTTTATTTTAACTAAATTCATTTTGTCTATTAATTTAATGTTAGTAGTACCTTGACCGTCTTATCAGCAGAGCAAGAAACAATTTTTTGGTCATCCGGTGAAAACATGCACTTGAACACTTCTTGATTGTGGCCACTGAATGTCAGCAGTTCCTTTCCACTACTACTATCCCAAATCTACACGAGAATCAATTGAACCAGAAGTTAACTCCTGCTTTTAATTTGTCTACACATGAGTTAAGCATTTCATTCCAAAAAGAGAATACTAATACAAAGTGCAATTACATTTTTTAATTACTAAAATCCTCACTCAGTGAATACTTGCACAGCAAATATTCACCACAGTGAAAACCTTGGATCTCTGTAGTCTGCTAAAAGCAATTAAATTGCAATGTGCAAATGAAAACATTTTCCTTAACAGGGCTAAATATAAAAGACAAATTAAAGCGACTTCCAGCCAAAAATTCAAACCATGGTAGTGGACAAACCTTGACTTTGTGATCAGCTGAACATGAAACAATTCTTGCGTCATCAGTGGAGAAAGTACAGCAGTATACTGCATCAGTATGGCTGGTCATGGACAGCAGCTCTTTGCCTGATTGACCCTCCCATACCTAAATGGAATTTAAAGACACCCTTACTGACATTTTTTTAATTTCATTTCATTTATTGAACTGTAGGCATCTCCTTCTTCAACTACTAATAAACAAAAAAAAATTCTGCAGGCCTGATTGACTGAAAATGAATGCATTTTCTATGTAACAAGAGTACAATGCTGTCACACAAATGCAAAGTTGTAATATGAGTGCAAACTACAAATAGCACGCATGTGCTGCAAAAATTTGACCTGTCTTGACTTTCTGTGGTGCTTTTTTCATGCAAATTATTAATAAGCAACAAAATGATTCTTCATGCAATTTGGTTTGAATAAGCACTTGTAAATTTTCAAAGACTACAAATTGCACCTGCCAGTAATTTTGTTGTCTTTGAAAAATTTACTTGCACTTACTTGCACTTATACCAAGTTTCACTTGAAATCATGTTTTTAATACCTATACTAATTAAAGAGGAAAATACTTCACAATTCATCAAAAAGGTATGAGTAGTGCATGCCTCTGGCACAACTTTATCTACTAGTTCACTGGCTTGGGATTAACCTTAAAACAGAGCTGAGCAAACCAATGTAGCAGGTGGGGTAGCATACCCTGAGACTAATACTGTGAGCTAACAATTTACACAAAATGAATAACGATTAAAACCTTTTTATCAAAGTAATGCACTTATCCTAAGTAAGAAATTGAAAAACCTAACACTCCATAATTTAGTATTAAATTGTATACATCAAAGGCCATTCAAAGTGCAGTACCTTCACTGTTTTGTCAGCACCACAGGATACCACTCTACTAGCATCCTGCGAAAAACCACAGCAGTACACAGCTCCTTGGTGAATTTTCACTGTTATGAGAAGTGTATCCTGGGACTCTTCTCTTTGGTTACTATGGAAACAGTTGGTCAAGTTATCTCAAGAATGCCACTCCATGAAGGCATAGGAAGAGTTTCTAAAAGAGAAGTCTTCTACCAACATCTAAGTAGTATCTGGGGGCAAGCTAGTTGTTTGAGATCAATGCGGGCGATTGAGTATTGAAAGTACTTTGGAATTTCATTTATTTTGTTCCACTTCACTCTGTGACTGGTCTATTTGACTAATTAAAAGTCATCCTCACAACCATCAGATACAAGACTAAAACCACCTGAAACTTGCTCTTTTTTTTTTCCTGAGCTTTGAGCAGTTTGCCCTCATTTACTTCTCACTGGACAGTGGTCTGGTGATGTCAACTTTTTGTTCTGATTAGCAATCACTAAAAGTAATCATTTAGATTATTGAAAAAGAAGAAGGTCATATGCTCCTTATAGCTCCTCTAATGGCCACTCCCTTGCTACCCTTCCTTATTTGTGTACATCTAAAAATTGATAACTAACTTTAGCCTTAAGCTATGGGCCCTATCAAGTATATCTCACCTCCAATCAAGGTAAAAATTCCCATCACCTTGTGCCTGAATGGCTTTGTCATGTGCCTGTTTATAGACTTCCGAGTCTCTGGATTCACTTAGACCCATCTGGATTAAGTCTGGAAGAGGTTTCTCGACAAACTGATGGGCATTCACACTTACAAAATGGTTGAAATCACCAATGACTTTCAATTCCTAGAGAGAATATTTATATTTATGGTTAAACAAGGAAGAATCTTCAGGATTCTATCAATAAAAAAATTCCTCGAATGAGCTCAAGTGATCAAAACTTGATAGCAGCAACACATTCAACGTTCAATATTTATCATATACTGAAACACCAATGAAGTACCAGTTGAGCTTTCCTGTGAAAACATATTATCTTCACACCTGAAAATAACATGATATCTTCACACATGAACATAACACCGTTATGGTTACCTTGCTATCTTCGCGTCCTTTGATTGACAAGTAGTCATTCAGAAGATCGGCAGGTCCAGTAACATCAAGTTTAGCAGCCAGCCAACTTGGATCTGTGATAAGTTTCTGAGCCTCTTCTACCAGACCTGCTCTAAGCATGTGTCGCAGAAGATTCCGGTGAATGTAGCCATCATTTGTCATCTCACTAAAGTTTCCTGAAATTATAACATCTCACTAAAGTTTCCTGAAATTATAAGGATATCTGACAAATTATTTTTTTACAAAGGAGAGGGAGACTTCCCTCATGGTTACCTAAAACTTCTTGCTGATTTCTCAAGATGTTGATCTTTCTTTTGATTGGCCGTTGAAGTTGGCTTAATTTTAATTTTATGACACTCCATCAGTTGAATACAATCTGGAAGCATTGTGTCGCATAATGTGCCTATGCTCTGCCAAGGATTAGCCTTCCAGTAGCTTACCCTTATACACCTTTCTGTATCTATCCACCAGCTTCTTGTGCAGAGCTTCCAGATTTGTAGCCTGTTCTTGAAGGAAAGTTAGCTGCAAGTTATGCACAGTGTACCATGTACCAATTGCATCTTCTGAATTCACCGTTCTTCTTGCCAAGGATTTGTTTACCAAAGCTTCCATCCAGTCTTCTACAACTTCAAACTGCAAAAAAATATATTATTACATTAATTAGAAAGCTTTCTAAGCTTATCTAGCTGTAATAATTACAATCCAACCAAGCAACCATGGTATGAAATATATAATTGAAAGTCAAACAAAGACAGTCTACCTGACTGACTGACTTACTGTCTGAGCGACAAACTCATTGACTGATTGACTGACTGACTGACTGAATGACTAACTAACTTGACTGTCTGGCCAACTGACTGACTGACTGGCTGTCTGTTTCACTGACTGACGACTGACAGAATGACAGAATGACTGACTGACTGAAGACTAACTAACTTGACTGTCTGGCCAACTGACTGACTGACTGGCTGTCTGTTTCACTGACTGACGACTGACAGAATGACAGAATGACTGACTGACTGAAGACTAACTAACTTGACTGTCTGGCCAACTGACTGACTGACTGACTGGCTGTCTGATTGACTGACTGACGACTGACAGAATGACTGACTGACCACTTGACTGACTGAATGACTGACTGATCAACTAACTGGCTGTCTGTCAGACTGACTGACTAACTGACCAACTGACCAACTGACCAACTGACTGACTGACCAACTGACTGACTGTCTGACTGATTGACAGAATGACTGACTGACTGACCACTTGACTGACTGATTGACTCACTGATCAACTGACTGACTGTCTGTCTGACTGATTGACTAGCTGACTAACTAACCAATGAACTGAACTCACTGACTCACTGAATTATGGATTAGAACAAATGGACTTGCTAAACAACTGCTCAATAATCCAACCGATTATTAGTTCTGTCTAAAATAAGACCTGCAAGGGTTTATTTTGTAAACAAGTACTGCTGTAGTTACTACACCTCCTCGTCCCACAGTATAGAGAGGACCTGGGCAGGAACTTTGCAATCTTCACAAAACACAGCAAAGCTTTCATAAATGTGCCTCAGTTCATCAGGCAGGTTATTAATGCTCATGCGAATTGCCTCCGTCAAAGTGGGATATTGATATTCAAATTGCGTTTTAAGCTTACTGACATTCTTCTTTTTCAGTTGGCTGACATAATATTTCCATCTCTTTGGATGATCTCGAAGCAGAGCACCTATCATGCTTATTGCTAAGGGAGAACCATTTGTCAGTTGAAAGATTTCTTTTGCTTCAGCTGGGAGGTTTGTCTTGGGTTGCTTTGTCCACTCTGCCAAAATTTGAAGTGATTCTCCTTCTGTGAAACCCTCACTGATGTGAACTTTAGCTTTTGATCCACCCACCATATCGGTGATGGCTGCATCACGAGTAGTAACCATGATACGACAACGGACATCAAAGAACTTTACATCACAGGAATCCCAAAGGTCATCCAGAATTAGCAATGACCTTGGGTGCTGGTGAGCAAAGAGCATTCTTAACCTGTCCTTAGCTTCTTCGGTGTTTCGTGGAGGTTGTCGACTATGATCAGAATCAAGTCTGGCACAAAGATTCTGCATGTGCATGAGAAGTTTAGGTTGATCTACTGGGCCTATTCGTATCCAGTGAACACCACCTGGGAAGCATTCATCCAAGACAGCTGCACCTCTTAGAGCTTCAGAAGCTAAGACAGTCTTTCCACAGCCAGCCATTCCATGCAGAATAACCCAACCATCTTTCTCTTTTAAGGATTTTAATGCAGTTCGAATTTTGTGAATATCTTTTCCTCTGTGCGCAAAAACTGCCGGCCGCTGCGGTACACCACCCTCTAAAAGGACATTTTTCACTGAACAAAGAAAAGCATTACAACTTATTGTGAGAAATTGTTGTAAATGCTGCTAGGAAGTGCTCAATACACATGAGTGTAGAGCTAAATCCAATTCAAACTGACTAAAATAAAACACATGATTCCCCATTACTCTGAGTATCATGCTTTTGCACTCATCAGAGTAACAGGGAATCATGTGTGTTTCATTTTCATCAGCTTGAATTGTAGTTACAATAACTATGATGTAAAGGGCATTTTAGGAATACACACTTTTTCATGGCACAGACAAAAATCAAGACATACAGTTTCTAGAGTATACTTGTCTTTTAATCGATGTATAATTCTTGCTACTCACCCCTTTCTAATAATTCTTTGGCACTCGATTCTTTCCTTGGAGCAGTGGCATCTTCCTTCAAAAGTTCTACCAAGTGAGGATAGGGTTCTTCCAATGCCTCACGAAAATGATAAAAGGCTGCATCACTTTTGGTTTCCAACAAGTCTAGCAGCTTCCTAGCCTGTCCTCTTGATGTTGTTTCTGCTCTGATTAGTTCAGTATCATGAACATCAAACACCATTTTACTCTGAAGAAAGTTTAGTACATCATCAACCAATAGATCTTCAACAATTTCCACCCGCTTGGTAATAAGGAGATTAGTATGGTCCTGAGTCATGATTTGAACTATGAAAATAAAAAGATTTCAGTTAATAATTTATACCTTTTGTAAATCTTTGCAACTTCGCAAGATGGTAACCAACAAAGGTTTCTGAAGCATTCAGTGTCTGAGAGTATTGGCACACAGCTCAAACCCATATGCAGGAGAATTTAGAACCTGCTACAGGGTGGCCCTCTGGGTTAAAGTGTGAACTGTGGAATGAGATGTACATAATGTCACCCATCACTCAGAAGTATTTAAAGATATGTAGTTAAATAGCAAGAAACCCCATTTAAAAGGTCGGCAAAGTTGTGGACAGCAAATCAAAATACAAACAACAAGCAAAAAAAATACTCAGCAATACAACAAACCAAAGCATCTAATAGGTTAATATTAATTATTGAAATACTTGATTTTATATGCATTTCATTAAAGACTGCAAAACCCAAGAAAATAAACAAAATAGAGTGGTTTGTGACAGGTTTTGAGTAATGTTCATGTTAGATTGGTTCAAGAGTCTCACGCTCTCGGAAATTGTCCCCAAGTTTGTTGCTTCAGTGCTCTAAGATACAGTATATGATGTCCTTCGATGGTCTAACTTTAACTTTACTTTAATCATTTTCTTAACAAACTTAACACATATACAAAACTGAGGGGAATGCGAAGAAGCAAGTACAGGTTCTCTTACAAAAAGCCACCAAATAAAAAAACAAAAAAAAACACTACACATACCTATACATATATATATAATTATAATAACATAATAATAATAAATTAGGTTAATTCAGCATCTAACTAGTATAAATAAGCCTTGCAAAGACTTTGAAAATCAGACAGAGACTCAGAATTTCTGACATGCATAGGTAAACAAATCCAGGCTTTAACTGTTCTATGGAAATAGGAATATTTTAGCATGTTTGTTCTTGCATATCACGACAACAGATTCTAACTGAACTCACTTAGGTGCAAGGAACTCAGAATAGACTTTGGAAAGAAAAATAACTTGGCACTGTTTCTCTTGAGGCTAATGGTAATGCTTTTGAAATAGTGAAATCAGCTAAGATATCAGGCGTCACTGTAAGGAATCATCTTAAATGGAACAATCATGTAGATAATATTACTATGAAAGCGTCTCAAGGAATTTAGTTGCTTAAGAGACTCAAGCGTGCTGGCATAGACCGCGAGGCTCTAATTCTATTTCATTGTGCATGCATACATTCCATTCTAAAATATGCATGTCAGGCCTTCCATACTAGTTTTCCAGCCTATTTGTCCGACCAAATAGAGAGGGTTCAGAAAAAGAGTCTTAAGGATCCTATTCCCAGAGGTTTCATATAGCAAGGCCCTGGAAGATGCAGGTTTAAAAACACTCTTCTATAGGCATGAGGAATTATGTAGCAGTCTGTTTAAACAAATAGTAGAGAGTGGCCTGCATAAACTAGCTGGCCTGCTGCCTGTGCGCAATGACAGTGAGAGATATAATTTTAAGACTAGGCGTATATTTTCAATCCCAAATGTAAAAACAACGAGGTTTAGAAATACTTTCATAATGCACTTTGCAATTAAACAATTGTAAATAGAAAATCAATACTAGTATAATTAGGAATTTTCATAGTTTGAATTTTTAAACATGTTGCATATAACACAGGTAATTCAGCTTATAGCTACATGTTGTGGTTTTAAACGATTAAAAAAAAAAGAGAGAGAAAAAAAAAGAGTCTTCAACCAGTCAAACAAGGTTTCAAAACGATTAAAAATTGAATTTTATTTTCTACATCATTCCCAAATTGTACAAATTTGAAAAAACTGCAAGTACAATAAAGACCTTATATTAATGAAAACTGTTTGAATAGCATATCACCAGTAACAAAACTTGTAGATATGCTGACAGACAAACTCTCAAAGACAAGGATGATCTCAAAAAGACAAGGATGATCTCTCAAAGACAAGGAAGATCTCAAAGCATCTAAGAAAGGGGTTTAACTGAACTTCAAATTCAAAACTACATTTCACTTTTATCATCCAACTCAATCACATAGTAATAGTAATCAAAGTTTAATGTCTTTACGTGGGACATGGTTACCCATATTACCTGAGCCAGAGGCTCATGTATGAAACCAAGACAACAACTCACCCATCCCACCCCAGGGGAGGACATCCATCACACAGTAATCTCATGCGTGGGAAATTAACGTCTCCTGCCCCTAACCCTGCAGGAGATGGGACCTCCATTTATTCGTCCCTATCAGAGAAGACTAGAATATCTAAACCATTTCTTGATGTTATAGAAAGGCAGCATATTCTTCTCAATTATTTTAAGACCTTGAGTGTTGGTCCAGCCGGGGCTCAAACCCTCAACCTCCTGCACATCAGTCCAGCGCTCTATCCACTGAGCTAACCAGGAGGCAGTGGCATGGAGACAACACTTCACAGAAATCACTGCTGCTACTTGAAGAGCAGAAGTTGTGAATCAGGAACAATGGTACAGTCCATTTTCTTTTTCTCTTGGATACAAATCCGGGGCAGGCATAACCATCCTGTCAAACAGGTTTTTTTTACAGTACAAAATAACCAACTGTCGAAATATCTGTGCAATAGCTTAGGATATTTGTACCCACTGCGCGTTTTATTTGCACTCTACTAGGTGCACATGGATAACAGGGATAAAATATCAATACATAAACACGTTTACTCTGAGTCTGTTGTCGGTGATTAGGACAATATGAGAAAAACGAAAGTCACGTTTACATGTTCGTGATATTGACTCAAGCACCATCTACTAATGCATTACCCTTCAAACTACAATCCATTAAAGTACTTGCTTAAGAACCCTGATAGCAAAAGAAACGAAGGTAAATGAGAAATGCAGCGGAAGTAAAACAACGTGTTGTGTTTGGCCATGTCTTGTCGCCTGCAGTAGGACTGTCACCTAATTAGGCCAAGGTAGCTCGAAGTACAATAAATGATTCCGCTATGTTACGGATTTCACCTATGTCAGGATTAAACGAGTTCCATTCGTATCAGTGTCCAATTAAAATATTACACAGGAAACTAGCATCATTGACTTCTTCCACAAAAGGAAAAGCAAAAAAATTTGACTTATACTTACGCTGCAAAGGTGAATCCGTAACGTGATTGAACCTGTTCTCATCTTCGCCACTCTCATCATTCGATAACAGTTGCGCGAGATGTGGGTATTTCTCTTTAAGAACGGTGAAAAAGTGATCAAATGCGTCGTATCCCTTCGATGAAAGAATGTCCAGAAGTTTTTCTGCTTGTCTTCGGGAAGTTAGCTCCCTTCGAATGACCTCAGCGTCGTCGGAGTCCAGCACAAACTTGCTCCGCAGGTAAACGATCACATCGTCCACCAACAAATCTTCCACGATTTGTTGCCTAAACTTAATCAACAAATGTCTGTGCTTCTCTAGCATCTTACCTTGTCTCTATTAAAACAATCGTTTCTGTTTTGATAAAAATAGTCAATGACTTGTCTTCCAGATAAACTTCCGGCCATTTTGAGAGTTCTTCCACTTGAATGCGCATGCGAATAGAGCCTGAGCGGAAACGAAGGCGCTGTCACACACACGGAGGGATCACCGTGTCAAACGTTTCTTGGTTCGGGAAGAGGGGTGCGTCTGTTCTTGACAGACATTACATTTTCCTATTTAATATCGAGTATCACTTTTGAATCACAACTTGACAGATCAGATCCTGCATTTATCCTCACAGATACAAGTTTGACAATTTTTTTCGTGATAATTAATAAAGTCAGGTCAGTGTAGGTAGGGAAAAAAATATGCCCCCCTGCTAGGCTTCATTTTGAAAGACATATTAGAAACCTCTGAAACAACTCAGTTCTTGTGGAGTAATCCTTGTGGACTGTTTTAAGACTAAAATGTTGACCTTTGAGAAAAAGTCATATTTTGAGTAATGCACCACACTCTTGTGAAAACATTCCCTCAGGCTGTCAACATGCCAGTCCCTGTAAACAACAAGTCTTGTTCAGGTCTACCCGTACACAGACAATCAAAACACATGGCTACTTCTCAGTTCAAGCCTTTTGGTCGAAACGACTCAAACTTGATGTCCTGTTGAACTGACAGGATTAATAATTCTAACCAGCTGGTAAAGAGTAATTAGTATAAATGCAAGGGTAGTTTTTTTTTTTTTTTTCCACAAGTTTATCCTCAAGAAATGAGGGGGAAGAGAGTTATTAAACATCTAACCATTTTTGGCTGCAAGAGGTAGTGGGATGAAGTAAAAAAAAAATTCCTTGCTATCATATAACAAAACGGTTTAGCTTGTGTCAGTATAACAATAATAATAACAACTTAATAACTTCTAGAGCGCTATTTTCATTCAATGATCAACAGTGCTTAACAACTTAGAATACTACAGTAAATTCAAATTTATAAAACTAATTACATGTACATTAATATTAACAATGTATGTTAAAAATAAGAATAATATGGAATATCCATAATAAGAATCTTAATTAGGAAGAAGGATCTTAATGAGGAACTTAATTAGTAATATTAATAAAAGTAATTGTCAGACAGGGTACTTTGAGAAAGCTGCACGAAATAAATAGGTTTTCAGCTTACATTTAAAAATGGAAAATGATTGAATATCATGTAATTCAGCTGGCAGAGCATTCCATAAGTACGGGGCAGCAGCAGAGAATGATCTGTCCCCCAACTTGGCAAGCATTTTCCCCTTAGGAGGGTCAAGTAATAAACTTTGATTTGATCTAAGATTATATATATAGACCTAGGCTTGATGTTAATTAGTTCAATGATATACCTAGGCGCCCATCCATGAATAGCTTTAAATGTTAAAATTATGATCTTAAAATGAACACGATGTTGTACTGGTAACCAGTGAAGTTGACAAAGCGCAGGAGAAATATGCGAATACTTAAACTCAGTACAAGTCTAGCCGCAGCATTCTGTACACGTTGCAATTTGGCTATTTGCGACTTAGGAGGCCATACAAAAGTCCATTACAATAGTCTAAACGACTAGTGATAAAAGCCTGAATAAGCGTTAATAACGAATCGTGAGATAAATAATTCTTAATCCTCCTAATATTATGTAGGTGATAAAATGCGGAATTACAAATTTTATTAATGTGCGTTGACATAGACAATGTATTATCAAACCATGCACCGAGATTTCTAACACAGGAACTAGGATATCACAATCACCTGCGGAAATATTCCATTCATCGTTGATCTTACCTAATTGTCTAGTTCCTATTAAGATCAACTCAGTTTTATCGTCATTAATCATTAGCCTATCCCTAATCATCCAATTTCTTAAAATCACAAACACATCTATTCATAGCACTGACAGTTTCATCAAGACTAGACTTATCATCAGACTTGAAACTAAGATACAATTGTATTTCATCTGCAAAGCAATGCACACTAGGAAGATGTTTCTTTATGATAGCGAATATCTTTCATGCATAAACTATGAATAATAAAGATCCAAGGCAAGAGCCCTGTGGAACACCACAGTCCAATTCAAAATAATTGGACAGAGTACCATGTATAGAGACCCGCTGGCTTCTTTGAGAAAGATAGGAGTGGAACCATTTTAGAGCATTCCCACGTAAACCAACATCATTATGCAAACGATCGAGTAACACATAGTGGGACACTGTGTCGAATGCTGCGCTAAGATCCAATAGAACCAATAACGTTACATGTTGGGAGTTCATCTTTAAAAGAATATTCATTACTCTCAGTAATGCAGTCTCAGTACTGTGGTATTTTCTATATGCAGACTGGAATAAGGGATAAATGCTATTTGCCATCATATGTTAATGCAACTGATTGAAGACAGCTCTTTCAGTAAGTTTTGACACATGCTGAAGATTACTGACTGGCCTATAGTTCTTAAATACCAGATCAAGACCGGTCCTCTTTAATAATGGATTAACCAGTGCACATTTCCAGTTTAATGCGAACGAACCAGACTCCAGGGACGGATTAATGACTTTAGTAATAACTGGAAGAAGCATGTCAACACAGTTAATCACCAAAGACATTGGCATGGGATCCAAAATACAACTTTTGTTAGGAAAACCTTCAATGAGTTCACGCACATCTCCTTCTGACAATGGTTTAAATGATCCATCAAAGCACCAGACCATGATTCGGTATCATCGCCAAAAACTTCTAATAAAGCTGAAGATGTTAATTTATCAAGCTTAGCGTGAATCATTCTGATCTTATCAATAAAGAACGTGCCCATCTCATTGGCAAGAGTTAATAAATTATTTGTACTTTAGATGCTACTAATGATGGCAGCTTTTTCCAAGTATTTGAGTCGCTTAAGTGTGGAGGCAGATTACTTCCTAAAAGCTTGCAGAACAGGCATAATTTTGGACAGCAAGTGCTCAATATTTTCTTGGTATTATTCATAGCTGCCATCTTTGAATTTAACAGCAGCAAAGAGCTAGTGAGAGAAAGAAATTTAGACTAAGGGGGTGGACAACAGTCCAAAGAAAGGAGAGAAGAGGGGGGAAGGTCAATAGAAATTCTTGCCTTTTCCCAGTCCCTTCCTCTTACCATGCATTTCAATGGCCATTCCAAGAAACAATTGCAAGCTTGTAATGTTAACTTGCCTCACTAAGACACCTGCACTGGAGGTTAACTACCTAAAAGTAATCAGCATCAGCAATCATTGCACCTCAGCCTTTACTCTCATAATCAAAATACTTGATGTCAATATCACAGCAGGCTGAGCTTGCAGCACGATAAATACGACTGTTTAAATGTATTAAAAAATACACTTATTACAGAGAAAACAACAACATGGTTATTTAATGTTTGTTTACTTAAGTCATAACTGTGTTTAAAATAAATCATACATACCATACAAACTCTACTGTCATTACGTGACCATCAAACTTGGAAGCAAAATGATTCAAAGTTCTCTTTTACCACTATTAGGCAATTAGAACACTAAATTAGCTTTGACCGATGCCAGCCTGTCCATATTGGTGCCAGTCTTTCGTACACTGTAGAAAATGCTATGGGAGAGAAACAAAGACTTTCTACCTCAACTGTGAAAATTGTGTAAGTTGAATCCCAGGTCTTTGGAGGACAGACACCATCGGTGTCATTGATGACCTCAACATTAACAACATTTTACATGTATCAATTAAAACACAAAGATTCCATGTTGCCATGGTTCTGTACAGTAATGGAACACAGAAGATATCAAAATGTAGTAAGAACATCAACAACTTGCTCAGCAGCACCTGTGTGCTATTTTTCTGTTCTCGTCACATTTTGACATCAACTGAAAAGAAGCACAGCAACATAAATTCAATTTGTTAAATGCAAATACAGCCATTCCTCTTTGCTTTGACACTCTGCCAAAGAGAGTGCTATGGATCACTCCTGCAATTTTATGATTTACATTGTAAAAAGACTGTCACATAGGTGAAGGCCAGCTACAAATTAAAGTACAATAATAATGCTACCACTATGATGAAATCTAATCCAATAATTTACAGCAGTGTCAGTGTTATTGCTCTAACTGAAAGCCATAGTTAAAAACACTCTTATGATCTGTCAAAGAAACTTTAAAACTTTTAAGAAACAGCCAAATGGTTAAAATATTCCACTGAATAAAACTGATGCATTTTGGTATAGTTTCACCAGAACACCATCACAACAACATTCATTCAGTGTTAGGGATGTTCTTGGTGTACAATTTTTACTACCTAATATTACATTTATCATAATCATGCATGATTTCAAAACTTGTTTTACTTTACGACTGGCAATAATCTAGACTTTAAGCGGCTTTGCCTGTATCAAAATAAACCCTTTGACTTTGCTATGATTTCACTGTGATTCAAGATGTGTTAAAATGCATTGTCAAGAAAAAACAGTAGTTACAAATAATAAAGACAATCAATGTTTGATTGACAGATTTAAACCTACAAGGTTATTAATGATTCATTAATGATTACCATAGACTACTAAAATACAAATATTCCCATAGATTTTTGCAAAAAGACTGTTGTGACCTGTAAAACTACATCAATCAACCCAAACTATTACTGATAGAGATATCTTTAAAAAATTGCATGAACATATGACAAGAAATGCAATAGAATACTTTTTGTATGCTAAATACACCAGTGTATATCTTGCATGAAATAAAATGTTACACTTACAACAGAGGTTAACATCCTATCTGGATAAAATAGTCATCCAACTTCACAAAACCAGGCTTGACCTGTGATGTCTTCCCATCACAGAAAATTGCTTTTCACAACCTGACACACCCTTTTGTTGCTGTGCAAACATATTTTTGATTTCAAGATTCAAATTCTCTACTTTTTCTGACCAAATCAAATATTTCTTTCACATTGCTGTTGTTCCAGCTGATTTCCTCAGTGGAGGCCTAATTTTATACATAAGCATTGCTGTAACGATAATGAGTTCTTGAACAAGTATATATAGTAATAGAGTATCTGCTTTAAGCTTCCTTTCTGCCATTGCTCCCTGCCATCATAATATCAGTTTGAAATGTTCTCTAATTTTCTCCAAAAATTTATGTTTTAGACTACTGGACCTCCTAACTGCTAGTGTTCTAATGCTGCATTAGGCTTAATGTGTTCCATAAGTTAATTCACATATAACAGGCAATACAAAACCATGCTTTGTTTTTCAGTTGCAAAAAAGATTTTAACTCTAAATAACCAAGTGCCAAAATTTTGCAATAAGATCTCATGCATGTTAATGCACATGTAGTACATAGAATGCCTGGCACTCAAAATAGCTGCTCTATAGAGTTTTCAATTTACAAAGTTTCTGATCCATGCTTCTGCAAGCAACTCTTTCTTTTCACATGCAATAATGTTAAAGTTAGGCTCTTGAGAACTTTCATTTATCAATCAGACCCTCTTTTTTCCTATTTCTCACTATGTTTAAATCCCAAAGAAAATAAAATCTCAGTTTACGATAATTACATTAGAAACCAAAACACATGCAAATATTTGACAGGTGTAGACAAACCATTCAAACCATTGTTTATGATATAAAGCTTTAACAACTCAAAGTCAAAGTTAAATACCATCCCCTATAGGCGTTATCTTGGCCACCTCTGGAGTGACTGCAACAACTTCTTCCACCACCTCTTCTTGAATCATGACCTCTGGGGTAATCTGACCTTGATTTAATGCCTCTTGGATTATTTCCGCTGGGTTTATTTCTGGAACATTCACCCCATCTGGACATGGTTTTTCCTGGTTAAGTTCCTGTCCAGTTGTGGCCTTTTCCACTATACTTTGATGGCTTTCACCTGTAGCAGTAACAACTGATTGTCCATTAGGTTGCCCTGTTCCAGCAGTCCCAGTACCCACAGACACTTTGTACAATGAGTCAGTCATGGTACCTACAGATGACATAACAGCAGACTGGTCAATGCCACCAGCTGATAAAAGTTGGTTGCTTTCAGTGTTAGTACCGACTGTTGTTTTTCTTATTTCTTCAGTTTCCACAGCAACAGAAACCCTGGATGGGAAAAACTGGCCAGGTATTGCCTGTATGTTAGGAGGGAAGGTATTAATAGGCCTTGCTAGGTTTGCAGCAGTGGCAAATGGCATTCCCATGTTTGGAATTGGACTCCCACTCATGGTATTGAGAAAGGTACTCATATGGGGAATCTTGGCGTTAGTGCTTGAAGAAGGAAAAGTTACTTGCATTTCTGGAAGGTTCACCACACTGGGCCTTACAAGGCCAGCAGCTTCACTCCCAATGCCCACTGCCCCTTGACTTGAGTCTTGAAGAGTTGGTGCTCTGGGTGTGACGGCAACCTGACTGGCTTCCACATTACCCCTCTTGGCTGGAGGCTCCCCTTCCTTTTCTGTTACCCCAGTGGGTGTATGGCCTCTTATCTGGGAGGCCAATGCTGATAACATGGATGACATTGGTGTACTGGTTGGAGGTAAGTTACTGAGGTTGGCTAACATTTCTGCAGCAGAAGTGGTTCTTTTCCTTCCTCTTCTTCCCTTAGGTTTTGGAGAGCTTGCATTTTTACTTTTGGGGTCTGTTCCAGCAGGGTCACTTCCCTCCCCTGGTTGCACAACAGCCACTGTTTCTGCAGTAACACTCTCTGCTATAGGTACTGATGCCACTGTGGTGCTGATGCTAGGACTAGCAGTTCTTATTGGTGTGGCCACTGCACCTCTGATATCTTGAAAAGCTTGAACTTGGCCAGCCGGTCCAGTCATGGGCATTGGAGCAAGGAATGCAACACTTTGACCTGTTCCTTGTATACCCTGCATTGGAGCAATAGGAAGAAGGGTAGAAATGCTGTGCAGGATTTGGCCATCTTTGGTCATAGTTGGTGCCATACTACTAAATGTTTGCATCCCAGGAAGGACTCCACCTTGTGAAGCCGACAAAAATGCACTTTGAGACATGCCTGGCACAAGTCCTTGCATCCCAGAGAAAGGCATTCCGGCAACAGTGCTTCCCTGTACACCGGGCAAAGCTTGTCCTGCAGTTACAGGAATCCCAGGTAACAAAGTTCCTTGAATCCCTGGCATTGTCATGCTGTAAAGTGCACCAGATCCTGGCGGTAATCCTTGGAGAATAGTTCCCTGAGGACCAAGAACGGGCATCCCCGGAGGCAAAGTCCCTTGTGTTACATTTGTAGTTGTGACCGGAAGACTTGCAAGCTGAGATGTTGAAGAAGGCGGTTGTGAAATGGGCTGAGTGTTCTGAATAACACTCGGTGCCATTCCAGTAGCGGCTGGATTTACTTCTAGTGTGACAGCGACTGGTCCTTCAACGCGTGAAGGATTAGGCATAAGAGCGGCAGTCGCTGCGGCTGCTTCGACGCTGTTCAGAGAAGCGACCTTGTTTACCGCTGCTACAAGACTTGCCTCGGGACTAAGACTCGATTCCATTGGTTTTAGAACTTGTGCTTGCTTGTTTTTGATGCTTTGTATGACTGCTTCGCTGACTCCTTTAGACTGAGGGGTTGTTGACCGCTTTCTGATTCCTAAGCGCTCACGCCGTCTTCGCTGTCGTTCACGGTTTCCTTTACGAATTATCTCCAATTGCTCGCTTGTCATGGTTTCCTTTCGTTTTCGTCTCCATTCCCGATATCTCGCCCTCAGCGCTTCAATTTGGTCACTACTCATCCTTTCTTTCTGCTTCCTTTTCAACTCGCGTTGTTTTTCTCTTCTTGCCGTGACCTCATCGTTATTCCCCTGCATTTTCTTCTTTTCACGCTCTCTAAATACCCGCTTTGTCGCGACGTCTTCGGGTGATTTTTCAGTGTGTCTCTTCGGTTCTCGCGTTCTCCGCTTTTTCCCGTCTGCTTTTGTTTCTGAAGTCTCCGTGATTTCTTCGGTTCCGTTTTCTTGTGGTTTTTCATCGATTACTTCCACCTCACTAGCGACAACAAGAACGCTGCTCTCGTCTGAAGCGCCATCAAATCTTGAGTTATTGTCGTGACATGGTGGTGAAATGGCGTTGTTTGCTGATGAGACGGTATCGGATGAAATTTGCTCAGTTGCGCCGTCCTTTCGAGATTTTTGCCTCGTTCTCGTCGATCGCTTCGGTCTCGTAGCTTTCGAAGTTTCTTTATCTACTTCTTCTGGTACTTCTGTCTCGACTTTCAGAGGTAGCATTACTTCTACAATCGCACAGCCCTCAGACAGAACCTCAAGATCATGGCTTGGGTCCACGTCGTTACTGGTTGTCGATGGCGCTTCACTCTGGCGTGACATCCTTAGCTTTTCGCGCCTTCGTCGCTGTCTTTCTCTATTCAGTCTTCGAATTCTTTCTGTCCGACTCTCGCCCGATGTTTCTGTGATGGATTCCACTGTGTCTGTGTCTTCGTTACTCACTCCTGCATCCGTACTGTCATTAGCTTCGCTATTCATTTTTGCACAAGATATCGCATATCAAACCATCCAAAGTATAAACACGCCAGAAAGCAGGACTACGTCACGCGATAAACTAAAGGCCTTTCGACCAAACTTTTACGTTTCCAATTCGCACACAACAAAAGACAAATCTTTGAAGAATTGCTGTTTGCTTACTGGGTACGAATTCGACGTACCAAGGACTTAAAATAGACGATTTTGGCGTCTAGGTGGCCATATTGGGAATCAGTCAATCAAATTTTTGAAACCTAGGGAAGAGACGAGCCTCGTTTTCATGCTGGGGTGTGACGCGTTTGTTGAATGGCAGTGGCTATTGTCACATGTCTATAGGAAATGTACAGGAAAGCTCGATATGAAAAATATTTGGGATAAACTGCTGGTTTCTCGATGTTTCAACAGGTCTAACAACCTGCACCTCTTTATGCAACTAAGGAGTCGTCATTGTCAACCTGACTGAGTTAAGAAAAATCAAACAAGCCGAAGTTATGTGACGTTAATAAGCGTGATTGTTTCCACTTGGCTGACTGTTTTGACACCCGACAGTAACGAAGTATTTGTTATCAATTCGTCCCTGGCCGGATACAAATACTTTGCAATGACTTTTGGGCATGATAATGCGATTTTGCGTGATCTTTTAGCGCGTCTTTTATCAACTGGGAGAGATGTCTCCGTTGAAATTTTCCAAAACTTTCAAACCCACTGATTTACCGCTAATTTAAACAACTACAACAAAAAACTTCACGCTAGGGTAGAGAATATTAGGGTTGATTTTCCACAAGAATGTTTATAAAACAGTACATATATCAGATGTCAGAAGCGGCTTGTGTGAGTCTCCGCATACTCAATCATTGACCCGGTCAAGATAAGTTCAATATAACATGAAAGGCGCAATTCTCAACGAAATGTGTTGCCAATTACGGTGCGGCCTTCAAGTTTTAGACTGGGGTTGATCGACAACCAATCGGTGCTGAGCTCAATTTATCTAATCCTTCAAAATCCTCCCGAAGAAATTTCCGGAATCATATATTGGATTAAGAGGCAGGATCAGCAAAAAATATTAAACAGAAGCAAAATAACAAACAAACGAAAACATTCGAGTTAAAATATTCAAATGATGAACCATTCAAATCTTTTGCAAATAATATGTCAGTAATCAAGTCCTTTAATTTACCTACACGTTTCCCAAAGAACTGAATACATTTTTGGGGCGGAAAACCTGAAATTCTTTAAAAAGGCATGGCTTTTTTTACCTTCCCTTCCCTTCTCCTACCCATGCAGTGGGTCTGTGTTGTACCCTCTGAAGACTTTTTGCTCTCGCATCAAACGAACTTTTACGAGAGTGCTCTTACTTTCAGTGTGAATTTTCACTGCTGTTTAGAGTTCACTTCTAAAAACTTAGGATGCACTTAAAATTCTTGAATTAGGGTCCTTGGCTACCAAAAGCCCGCGTTTCCTTGCCAGCGTTACAAACAGTTCTCTGCGCATGCGGAAAGAACTGGAAGACCCCACACCTTCCAAATACTGCAGTTAAATAAATTTGAAAAATGTGAGTGAACTTCGAAAGCAAAAATTCTGGAAATTATTTTGTTTAAAGGAAATTATGTCTATTCGAGGCACACCAAGGGGTTCTGACGAAAACCTGCAGTATAGTGCAGCTAGTGACAGTTTTTGGGATGTTGGAAACTTCAAGCGCACGGTCAAACGAATAGACGATGGTGCAAAGTTATGTGACGAGTTTATGAAACTTGTCACAGAAAGAGCTGAAATAGAAGCAAAGTACGCCTTGAAATTGAAATCCTGGGCCAAGAAATGGGAAGAATGTATTAAAAATGGACCAGAATATGGCTCAATGGAAGTTGCCATGCGAGGCACTGTCACTGAAGCCGAGTCAAGGGCAGAGATTCACTTGTTATGCCGTGATAAACTCATGGACGACGTGCACGAATCGATTAAAAGGTGGAAAACAGAAAATTATCATAAAGGAATATTTCAATGGAAGGAGACCAAAGAGGCCGAAGAAGGATTTACAAAAGCTCAAAAGCCTTGGGCAAAGCGATTGGCTAAAGTTGAACGATCGAAAAAGGCGTATCACACTGCCTCGCGAAACACCGAGCAAGCTCAAAATGTGGAGAATCAGGCAAATAACGACACCGATTTGAAACCAGCTGAGAAACTAAAAAAGTTGTCGGATGCAACAGAGAAAGCGAAACGAGAAATGGATAAATGTAAAGAAAAGTACGAACTGCGCCTCGAAGAAATCACATCTTACAACTCACAATATGAACGAGATATGATTCAAGAATTTGAAAGGTGTCAGGAGAATGAAGACCACCGTCTTGTGTTTTTCAGGGACACTCTAGTGAAGTATCACAAATGTTTGGATATATCGGATAGCCCTGAGTAAGTATTTGGTACTATGTAATAGAGATTTGTAGAGTAAGGAAAGGTATGCTTCAGTTTTCACTCTAAATATAAATTGAACATTGTACTCGAAGACCGTACATGTTGTCGTCCTATTTATATCTTTCTTGACTACTCGTGTTCCGCGTAATTAACTTCTTATTATGCAAATATTACAACAAATCAAACGTAAACATTTTAAACCCACTTTGATATGATTTGCATTTTTAATCCAGTTTCTTGCAGTCTGATCATTTGTTGCTCTGCGTTTGTTTGGTTTTTAATGCAAAATAAGCTAAGAATATATACTTTATTTTATTTCATATTTGCTTGGAGGGGTGCAGAAAGTGAAATTCTGTTCCTCTAGAAAGAAATTCTCATCACTCCTTTTAAATTGATTAATCTTCATCTGTGCTCATTTAACTCTAAGAAGATGAAATTAAATACGGTCATCACTTGTGTGACTGTTTGTGTTTATCCTGGGCAGCAGACCTGAAAATATATGCTTGTTTGTATGCCCGCCATGACGGAAATTAAAACAAAAGAATTCAGGAAAGCATTTATCCCATAAATAACAACACTTTGAAAAATTCTTTGACTTTTCACTTATCAGCCAATGCATTGCTGAGAAGTTTACTTATTTGGACTGTCTCCAGCCAGTTTCATACTTCAAAGAAGTTCTTCCAGATGAAATATGTGAAGTATTTTGATATGAAAGTAAAATTTTCTTCCAGTTCCTTTGTACTAAAAGTGTGCAGTACTGTCGTCCTAGTTTCAGAGATATGCTGAACAGCTTTTTGTTTACAGACAGCATGGGGTCAGTAGTGAGCATCTTGCATCAAAAGTTGATGGTCCAGTAAATATGGCTATTTTGTTCTCAAGATAAAGAGGTCAAGATACTTTTGTGAAATGTTATCCAAATCATAACAGGCTCTGTAAAAGATCTGCTAAGAAATGACAGATGTCAGAATCTCTTTTACGCACACCTTGAGATTGATTCAGTTTGCCACAGTCTTAAAAATTATCAGCTGTAAACTAGTGTTACTTCAGTCTCCTAAAGAGATCATTCTTTAGGAGACTGAGAATTGTGCTAAAAGACTGAGATTGTGCTACTCCTCAAGCTAGTAACAAGCTTTGATTAAATCCTTGGATGAATTTTAGATGTAAGTCAGATATTGCTCTTTAAATGAACAATTAATTGTCAAAAATACCTTAGTTCATTTAGACTTACCAAAATATTCAGTTTTGGTAATGGAGCTATGTTTTGGTGCAATGTTCCTGAAAAATTAAGCTCAAATCAACCTCAAATCAACCATCCTAAGCAGCATTCACTTCTCTTTGGTCTAATATGCTTGCTACAATGTAATTTGTCTGTGGGAAAAGGTCACTGTCTCCCATCAAAAAGACCAACTCAAAATGTTATTAAGAAGCTCCCTCAAATTCCTCCCTTTTTAAAAAATGATTTTAAAGACTTAATATTCTTATCTCTTCTTTGGGTATTATGCCAATAGATCCTCTCTTAAGTATTATTTGAGGTTTGAATAGTTGAGAGGTCTTGGAAAGTATCTCTTTTTTCCATCTAGTGCTACATTTAACACAATTGGCATAACTAGGCAACCATTTGCTACAGCCACCATGCATGCAATATCCAATCCTGGCTGACTTATCATTTTGTGAAACATTCATTGTCAGCTGACGTTTGATTTTTGTAAAGTGACATTTTGTTGATGCTTTTTGTGTTTGAAAATTAACATTGTTTTCTTGATCTAGGATTTTACATGGAGATGTGATGTATTTTAGAACTGAACTCAAGTTCTGCTTCTGTTTTCAATTTTCTTCTCTTCCTTTTTTTTTTTTTTTTTCCTTAGTTTGTTTGTGACTTTTCAGAGGAGCTGCAAATAAGAAACTCTCCTTTTTTGCAGGTTTTCTGGGGTCTTTGTCAACATGGGCCTAACATTTCAGAAGGCAGATGCCCAGGCAGACTTAGACTGGTGGTCACTCAACCACGGTGTAGGCATGCCACAGAATTGGCCAGTGTTTGAGGTACATTCACATTCTGTATATCTTCATTATGAGATTCCCCAAGCGAAGCTACGTTTTATACAATAGAGTAATAAGCTCGGACAAGATATATATCTTATTAACCAAGCGCGAGGGCCATACTGAGAGGATATTGGCCCAAGGTCTTGACAGTATGGACTGAGTGCAGTAAGGTCCGTACAAAAAAGACTGAGGGCCGATATTCTTCCAGTACGGTCCCGAGCAAGCTTGGTTAATAAGAGATTTATTATACGACTGAATTTCAAAGGGACACAAGTGCGGTATCATTCGGGACCATTCGGGATCATTCAGGACAGTGCCCGGTCCAATACTTAGAGAATATTGGACCGGCAATAGAGCATTTTGATTGGTTGATTTTTGTTATTGGCCCTCTGACTGCCCGAGTCGTGTAATAATGAAGGAAAATATTCCTTGAAGTGAAATGCGATGGCTGTTTAGGTAGTTAAATTAAGATTAGTGGTTGCAAGTTATCTCAATGGAATATTTTCATCATATCATCACCCTATTAGTACCATAATGATTCCATTTTAAGGCCTTCGTACCAGTAAGTGCTCCCTCTCTAGTAAGCACCTCCATTCTAATAAGCACCCCTATTCTCTTTCACTGGTAGCACTGCTAGAGTACATTCCCCACCCTTATTATGCAATTATTACACGACTCGGGTAGTCAGAGGGCCACTAACTAAAATCAACCAATCAAAATGCTCTATTGCCGGTCAATATTCTCTCAGTATTGGACCGGGCACTGTCCCGTATGGTCCCGAATGATACCGCACTTGTGTCCCTTTGAACTTCAGTCGTATAATAAATCTCTTATTAACCAAGCTTGCTCGGGACCATACTGGAAGAATATCAACCCTCGGTCCGTACTGTCAAGACCTTGGGCCAATATTCTCCCAGTACGGCCCTCGCGCTTAGTTAATAAGATATATATATTCACTGTATATTTGTTACTTTAAAATTTCTCATATTGTTACTTTTTAGATAAACATAAAGCTTTGTTTCATGCATTCTGCTGTTTCTCAAAAAATAAATGTGCCCTGTTTCAAATGTGCATCCCCTCCTCCCCCCTCAGCCCTGGCCCCCTAGTGGTACTTTAAATAAGTAAGCACCCCAGACTAAATTGAATAGTTACCATTTATTCAGACATAATAACCAGTTATTTTCTTAGGGTATATTCATCATTGTTTTTTACAAAACACATAGTTGTAGTGAATTGTCTTGAGTTCAGCTGTTCTGTGACAACAAGAAACTATACTCGTTTATGATATGGCTAGTACCATGTCTCTATAGGAAACATGCCACAGTTAGCTAGTAGCTAAGACAGGATTTGGTTGCTCAGTTAGGATGTTCAATGTATATGAATCCATAAACAAAATCATCTCTACTGGGCAATGATTGTTTTCTTAACAAGTGCTTTTCAATGGCACTCTTGACATGATATTGGCCTTGGTTGCTAAACCACTTTTATTTCTGTAATCGCATTGAAGAAGAATAGAGATTACCTCAGACTTAAATATTAGAAAAAGATTATCTTTTCATTCAATTGTTTCTTATCTCTCATTCATTTGTGATTTTACTAGCCTTTATTTCATTGGATGTCAATTTTGTGTCATTGCACAAGAGGCAACTTCATCATAGCATCACAGACAAGTCACAGTTTAAACACAGCTGTTTTTTTTTTTAATTTCAAGAGGGTACCTTTCAGGAAGTGTATTCTTTGTTCACTGAATGGCTGAAGTGTCTTGAATTTTATTGAGCTCTAACTAGAAATTTTATAGGTTGTAGTGTAAAGTTATGCTTTTCCTTTATGTGTTTAGTACACCTTCTCAGGGTCTTAAAATAATTGAGAAGAATATGCTACCTTTCTGTAACATCAAGAAATGATTAGATATTCTAGTCTTCTCGGATAGGAGCGAATAAATGGAGGTCCCGTCTCCTGCAGGGTTAGGGGCAGGAGACGTTAATTTCTTACACACGAGATTACTGTGTGATGGATGTCCTCCCCTGGGGTGGCATGGGTGGGTGGGTAACAGTACCCCCATTGATACCAGTGTTTACTACACTGAAGGGGCTATCCTATATAAATATAGATGTCTACTCTACTCTTCAGTGGGAAGGTAGCTCATGTCACTACTGCCTCTGAACCAAGAGTGCAGACCTTTTCTGGTGGATTCAGTCCTAAGAATATTTTCTTTGCCCATGTGTAGGAGAGGAAATGTCCTACTAGTAACTTATTGAAAAGAATGTTGTATAGACAATGTCAGGGTGGACCACTGAAAGAGCAGAAACTACTTCAAAACAAATCCATAGATAAGGAGAGCACTTGTGAGGCACCCTACAAAGTACACAGTTTTCATTCAGACACAGAGGATAATTCTGCTTGGAAGAATGGCCCTACCATTTCTGAAAATCTCATAAGTTTAAACACAGGTGAATGCATTGATGAAGGATTTTTATACAGCACAGTTGAGTCAATAAGTAACTGCTGTGCAAGAGATTCTAGCACTGTTGGAAGTAACTATAAACACATACAAGATGGAAATATTTCTGAGAAGGTAGACAATGAAGAAAGTGCACATGGTAGCAGCAGGACTGAAGTGTTGTACTGGGAAATACTGGATGTGTCATGCAGAAACCAGGTAGTTAAAGGTAGTAAGTCACAGGAACACCAGTAGTTAAACATTTAGTTGGAGTTTGATACTTTGGATAGTACAAGGCAGTTAGAATCAGCTTAGAAAAGAAGGTGCCAAGATTTTACTTAAAACCTTTTGTCTGACAAAGCTTTAGAAAGTTGAGCATTTGCAGTGAATGGTTTTAAGCAAGAGAAGCAATTTCCTGAAAAGAGTGACTTTCTGATGAAGAGAACGGTTAAAAAAAAAAGTACTGGTTACTCATCAACTTTTTTTGCAAGTGAGCATCAACATCAACTGAAACTGTTTGGTTGCTACTAAAGGAAGAGAGGTTGTGCCATTTTAGGTTAAATTTGCTCTTCCTCTGATTGCTAAATACAGGTGCAATCTCAATTGTTTTATATTACTTTTCCAATAATGCTAAACTACCTACAACTTGAAAGGAGACCGACTAAGATAGAAAACAGAAAAGAGAAAAGATTTAAATCAATGGAGAAAAAGTATGTTTTGAGATGGTGAAGATTGAAAATCAGCAATTCAGCAATTTGTGCAGTGTTGCTCCTGTCATTTCCCTTTGGAGATAACTGAAAGCAATATCATTTTTTCTAGTATTTTTGATTAAAAAAAATACACGTCCAAATTCATCACTTTTCCTAGGGACATTCAAAACCTCATTTCCAGCATCATGTTCCTGAACAAAACACCTGATGCTAGAATTAGCTTCTTCTAACTAAAAACAACAACAAACCAAATCAACAAATGCACTCTAAGATACTCACTGACAGTGACGTCAAAGCTTCACACTTGGATGCTTGAGTGTCTTAAAAGTTGAACTTTTTTTTTTCAGGAATACAATGAGCCCCCTCCAGCGAAACGGCCATTAGTGTCACAAGGGCATGAACAAGCACCAGCTGCATCCACCTATTCGACAACTCAAAACCATTTTGAAGAACACACTGATTACCCTCAGCACAATGAAACGTAAGTTTTTGAAATGAGAATAACTTGCGGGCTTGAGCTTTCCAAATCTCCTTGAATATTTTAAAGCTTGCAGGGCTATCAAGACATTCTAATGATTAAGAAGTGTGCATTTAGGCTGTCAGAACCAGACTGTCTCACATGAGTTTTAATCAACCTTGATACAAGCTAGTAAGTCATGTTGTTTTAAAAGCGTGTAAAGTTTTTGGCAAAGCTTACAACAGAATGATAAATCAACAGGATACCTGTACTTAAATAAGCTATGTGTTCAAGAGGTCTCTTCTTTTGTTTCCCTCTAGGGAATCAAGATGCATTGGTTATGAAATGATTCCAACTATATCACTTGCAGTGTTAATTTACTTTTGTTTCATTGTCTTTGTTGATAGAAACAACCCATTTAACAATTACACATCAAATACAAATGAAGACTTCAGTGAACCATCAGCTCCAGATGAATGGGACATTGAGCCTCCTCCCATTGAAGATGCAGGTGTCCCAGTCAGGGCCTTGTATGACTTCCAAGGTGTGGAGGACGATGAACTCAACTTCAAAGAAGGCGATATTCTTACACAACTTTCCTCGCAGGATGACCAAGGCTGGTGTCAGGGAAGATTTCAGGGTAAAATTGGACATTTTCCTGGGTCTTATGTGGAGCCACTGTAGAAGGAAGAAGCTCACAATAGCAATGTAATATTCTGTTTTTTAAACAGAACTTAATTTTAGTGTCCCTTGATAGTCTTCTCCCCAATTGTATGGAACATGGCATCCTGAAAACTCAATAAAATCTCATAGTGCTCGCTGCTAAGTTTCCAAATATTATTTTGGAATAGAATATCTTAAGTATGCAATGATAGTTATTGCAACAAATAGTAATGATACTGATAGTCAATAGAATATGTATAATCACAGCACATTGTGGTTATTTGTGGCTCACGAAAATATCAATATCCATTTCCCTTCGCAGACAGTGTGTCTGAAATTAAAAGGTGGCATGCAAGCAAACTATGCTGTGGATAGACTTTGGTTTGAATCGTTCAACTCCAGAAACTCCAGTTAGCTTTTACACCTTTTTCCCTTCCCCTTTTTCTGTAATTCTGTTAACTGCTAAACCTGAGTGACCAGCATCAAATTTCTCTTTTTAATAATACTACCGAATCAGTCAATAAGATCATGAGAATAAAAGAAATGATTGCCAACTTAAGAAGCTCTGATTGTTAAACAAATTCTTCTTGTCAGGTTCTAAGGAAATACATAGAAAAGGTACAGAGAAAATGGATACTGATGTTTAGGTGTTAACGGTTAACCTTCCTTGAGTGGGTATTGATATTTTCAGAAATCATCATTAATATATACTTTGCGGAAGGTTAGGTTTAGGAATGTTCATCATGATTATTGTCGGTTTGGAGAATACAAATACAATTAATTTAAAACTAATCATTGATAAAATTGTATGGTTTGGGTTATATAATTTCTCCTTGTCTAACAAATCAATGATATAAAGATGAAACTTCCTTTACTACCACCATTATATAAAATGGTGTACTGGTATACTTTTTGAATATGAAACAGAAATAAAATGTACTTCAATGGTTAGAAGGTAGCCTTATTTATGTAGCTCTGTTGTTTGAGTGTAGAGTAAGAAATGTTTCTCAAGTTGATTCTCAAACTTTCATATCGTAGATGAAAGGAGAAATGTATTCAAAAGAAAGCTATGATGTACCCTATTTGTTAGAATATATTAAGCTCTTCAGATGGATATTGAAATGTATTTTCTCCCAATTGTACATTATTTACTGCAAATGCTCCATTAAAAGAGATTTCAACAAGTTTCTGGATAAGTTGAAATCTGATCAGAGATAAAGGTTACTGAATGTAAAGTATATTCTGTGAGGATCACCTGGGATAAGGTGTATTTCAAATGAAATGCATTCAAGTTATAATTTTTCTCTTCTCTGCTATCTCAGCAGGGGCCCATCACTTGGGCTCCTGGTCTCAGTTAATCATAGAAACAATAAGTTATTGCCCTAATAAATGTTATATTTTAAAGGACAATTTTATGGTAATGCGTCATGGTTATCGAAGCACGTTTTTTTTCCAAAAGACTTGATTTCCAACTGTCATGGGGGGGGATTTGCTAATTCCTCATGTTTTCACAACACGTCACGATTGTTTCGTTGATCAAAAGTCAGTAATATTTTAATTTATTAATCCGTTTGTTGACATTTAATTGACCACGGGATTTACAGCCCATTGCATAATCGCTTAAGGTTGACCTTTGAGTTAATGTGACATTTTGCCGTAACACGCGCTCGAGAGCGATCAGTCCTTTTTCTACCTCGCTACCTGAAGTGTCCTGAGAGAATTTTGCTAACCTGTTTCTCGGTACTGGAGTTTTGATTGGATTGCGCCACAGAAGTGAGTAGTGTGTTTGTAATCAGTTGGCATTTTAGTATCATTCGTTTTCCAGCATGAAATTATCAGGAATCGCTTGCTGTTAGATCGCTCAGGAATTATGTATTATTTTTTGTAGATCGAATAAAAACCAATTAAAATGATTATACGATTCCGTGTCCAATCAATTACTCGCGGGCCACTTTCCTCCACGATCCAACGATTTCGATAAAATTCTCGTGGTTTTCTGATCGTTACTCTGTTCAGAGAGTAGAACTTCACTATTATTCAGTCGAAACAGCATTACATGGCTCTAAAAGAAAGTTAACCCATTTCACTGACTTGACAAACTTTTTTGTCTCGCAATTTTTCTGTTTCCACGCCCTCTTTATTTCAATTATCGTTTTCATTTTTGACAAGATTTTGTTTTCCTTAGAGCCACTGTGGGAAAATTGTCTACAATGTCCACTGCAGCCTTGCAACAAATGTGGTGAATCTAACGATTGTCCGCTTCACAACCGTAAATGAGACAAGAGGCGGGAAACGGCTGACATACAAAGAGGTCATTTGTGACGTATCATACACACGATGAATGAAGGGGATCCCCAGAGGACTCTCATGTCATATGATTCCACCTTATGGTAGACTTATGCTCTCGGAGCGTCCATCTACGAACCGGTAAATCTCGACTACGAAGGGACACTTCTCCGATCTTTGTGGACAGAAATTTCGCTATCGCTGGCATTAAGGTAAGGAATATTGAAAATATATCTTGACTTTTGCTTCTGTACTATGAAAACCGAAACCAGCCACACTTTCGCGAAGAGATAAAACGGCAAACACGCAAACTAGCGCTCAGATATTTTATGCTTGTTTAAGTATTGCGATGTCAACACCAAACTATCATTACGACTAAATGTTGATATGCAGTGTTTCTATGAAACACATGTGTAATAGAGAAGCTATAACAGAAACCGAAGAGGGTTTGAACTACGCGTTCCTGTCCTTCGACGGCAACGAGCTAATGACGGTGACTTCCAGAAGAAATGCCGATTTCTCGTAACTAGCATATCATAACCCTACACCTAACCCTTCTGTTCTTGTGCAACTAACCGTTAGAGACTGACGTCCGCTCGCCCGAAAAATCATACTTCTTAGATTTCGTTGAGAAACGAATGCTATTGTTTTTATTAACAATCCGTAAATTTCATTCCATTGTCTGAAAAGTGTCTAGTAAAATTCCTCTCTTCGCGTGCGATCATCTCGCGTGGCCTTCCTACTCAAGGAAAGCTAAAGTTTTCGAGTTTGTCATTACAATCGGTGTCAATCTTCTAAGTGCTCAACCATCTTGGTCTTCATTTAGTTTTTTTCCCTGCTTCATCTGCGTTTTTCTTCATCGGAAAAGTTTATGTGAATATTTCTTTCAAGTGAACGACAATCTTCAGCAACTCTAAACACACACTGCAAAATTTCGTGACGTAGCTCATTTTTCATAATCGGACAAATTCCACCAAGCAGATTTATAGTATTTAATCTTGACCTACAACTAATATGTTACCTAGTTGACCTCTCAAATGTCTAAATTAAACATCCTTCCCCCTTGTGTAGGCGGCTGTGAAACTCGATAACAGTTTCAGTGAGGGCTCCTGTCTCAGTACACGGTGTCTGAGACATCAAAAGTAAAAGTTTTTAATTTTCCTGCCTCTTTTCTCAGTCTTACTTTCTTCTTTTTCTTGGAGAGTCTTGAATTTCATCCTGAAGGTTGTAATCAATGTGCCCTCTATGTCATCACTACAGGTTGTTAGACTCGAGTTTTTACAAATTTATCCCAAGTGTTCGAAGGTATAATTCACAAATCCGTCTTCCTTGTGTCTAAACGAGTCTACTTTGAACAGCTCTCTTTACTTCTGGTGACATTCTTTTTAAGTTTTGTTTTTGGTTTTTTTTTATTTTTTCCCAGTATACTGCACTTTTACTAGCTGTCTCGAAGTTGTATCTTACTACCTTTTCCATTTGCTTATTTAGCTCCTTCGTTGGGAGATATTTATGACGCATCTTTTCAAATCCTCAATGTTTGACCAGCGTAACAGGCCCCCCTTTCCCACTCCCTCTTCGGATTCTTTTTCCCTTCCCCCTCCCCCTCCCCTTTCCCCGTTTTTCTCCTGCTCCGCTCCCATCGCATTTTAAAATGATAAGTAACCAAAATTTTTTAATGTCGGCACTACAGGTTAGTTAAGTAGAAATATTAACAATCCCCGGGAAAAGCGTGTGATATGTTGTTCAAGACCTGCAGGGTGATATACAGCACATTGATTTACTGCCATAATACAAGATTATTGGATATAGCCACAGGATCAATATAACGGGCTGTACTGGACTGTAAATGTGTTGTTTATATCTTTATTACTATTACTATTTTTCAGTGTTAGCTCTGATCTTGTGGCAGTATGCAAGAGCACAAGTTTTCGACGTTCTTCGAGCCTTTCAAAATCAAATCTGTGGAGAAGCTCAAGCAAACAACGCGAGACGAACGAATCAAGCATCTGAAACAAGCCAACTACAATTTGTATCTCTTGGACTCGGATAATATTATGATTGACCTTCTGACCGATTCAGGGACTGGGGCGATGAGTTCTGAACAGTGGGCAGCTGTCATGCTTGGAGACGAGTCGTACGCAGGCTCCCCGAGTTACAGAAAGTTTGAAAAGGTCGTCAAGGAGATCTTTGGCTACCGTCACGTGATCCCCACGCATCAAGGGCGTGCTGCTGAGCGCATTCTCTTCCGGTGCACAATAAAAGAAGGAGATATTGTGCCTAACAACGCACACTTTGCGACGACTTTGGCCAACATCGAAGCGCAGGGGGGGGACGCGATCAATTTTTTGACACCCGAAGCTATGGAGCCGAGTACAGATATGCCATTTAAGGGTAACATGAACATCGGTATGCTAGAAGAAAAGGTCGCCAAGAGTAAAGCCAGAATCCCACTTGTTATGATCACCATAACTAATAACATGGTCGGAGGTGAGCCTGTTAGCATGGAGAATATCAAGGCGGTCTCAAAACTGTGCCGAGCTCACGGTATTCCGCTGTTCTTCGATGCCTGCCGTTTCGCTGAGAACGCCTGGTTCATCAAGATCAAAGAAGAAGGTTATGCCAATCGCACACCCAAAGAAATCGCACATGAAATCTTCTCATACGGAGACGGGTGCACCATGTCAGCAAAGAAAGACGGCCTCGCAAACATCGGGGGATTTTTGGCAATGAATGACTCTGAACTCGCGGCACAATGCCGGAAAGAGCTCTTGATAACCGAAGGGTTTACGACTTACGGTGGACTCGCCGGACGCGATCTCGAAGCAATTGCCGTGGGGTTGAACGAGGTTCTAGAAGAGGACTACTTGCGTTATCAAGTTGGCTTCGTGAAGTTTATGGGGGACTTACTCGTAGAGAACCAAGTTCCGATTGTCACGCCACCAGGAGGCCACGCAGTGTACATCGATGCAGGCGCAATGCTGCCTCACATCCCAAGGGAACAGTTTCCCGCGTGGGCCCTTGGGTGCGCACTTTACGTCGAGGGAGGTATCCGGGGGGCGGAAGTTGGCGGGGTGATGCTGGGGAAAGCAAAGAATGGCAAGGAGTCTTCCCCAACGGGAGAGAACACAGAGGATGAGGTGAACACTGATGAAGAAGATGATGAGGTTTTTGAAACTGAAGTGGAGGAGCATGAAGAGTTGTTCCGTCTGGCCATTCCTCGCCGCACATACACTGAATCTCATATCAGGTACGTCCGTTGTACTGTAAAGTCTAGCAGAGTTCTTGCAATGTGAGTGGTCAAAATATGTCACGTGGCATACTTTTCTTTAGCCCTTATGACAGTTGACCACTGAAGCAGGAATATACTGCCCTCGAAACGAAATATATCTTGAAATCCTGATTCTGCACATTCCAAAGGAATTGTATGGAAGACCTCAAAAAATTTCCTTGTTCCCTTTTTAGACTTTTCAAGGGTCATTCTTCTTAACTAAAGTTTACCAATAATTGCATGAATACTCTTTACAGATACGTTGCCGAGGTCTGCGCCCATATTTACAGGAACCGCTCTAAGGTTTGTGGCTATACTATCGCGTGGGAACCACCCTGTTTGCGTCATTTCACCGCCCATCTGGAACCTATTCGTCCGCCGTCAGGGGCTACCGAGGAACCAGATAGAGTGCGCCATCCGTCAGCTGTAAAAGTGTCCAGTGGTCAAATTTTGAGGAGACGTAAAAATTCATCGATGCAGTTTAGTTAGTAAAATTTGAGACTCAGCAATTAACTGAAGCTTCAGAAGAAATTCCGATCGATTTTGATTGCGTTATTACGAACAAGTTTGCTACAATTGTCTGAAGAAGTATTATTCAACGCTTGCATGTCTGTATGCGGTGCCTGTAACAATCGTCACGGTCACCACGTGGGTAGCACTGGGAACGACGTTACAGAACGTGACGTAATGCAGTCGTTGAATAATCAGTCACGTTATGATACTCGACACATTGTGTTATCTCCCCCAAACCACGGTAGAACCCCACCAACTCAACTCCCAAGGAAAGCTAAAAATGGTTCGAGTTAGCGGGGGTTCGAGTTAGCGGGGATTCGAGTTAGCGGGGGTTCGAGTTAACGGGGGTTCGAGTTAGCTGATAGGGAGTGACTGAAAAAAATAAGGTCAGGGTAAATCGGATCTTATTCAAGTTACGGCGGGTTTGAGTTTACCAAGTTCGAGTTAGTGGGGTTCTGCTGTATCACAAAAAAGATATGGGCCAAAGCAGAACATTGGGATCTTTTTCTAGTTTTGTGATTTGATTTTTAAGTGGTGGACCGAGGGGGAAGTGGGGAGGGGGGATACTTGGGCCAATTTTTTTCTCTTTTTCGGGTATGAGCCACTGGCCTCTGAGATCCCCTACCCCATTATAGTCTATACTGTGGCCAATTATAGACCCAATCTTAGTTTATTTTTGGAAAGTGTAATTTTGCTATGCCAACAGACCCATTGAGGTCACTTTTAACAGCGTATCTTCCCATTCTTATTCCCCATCAACCAGAATTTTCTTACCCCCAAAATCTCGAAAATGTGCCACCCCATTCTAGTAACTATATTGAAATGCAACCCCATTGTAAACTTCCTCATCATCATTAGCCTATTGCTAGGAAGAGCCTTCCCCAAGTAACGGACACCCCGTAGAAGGGCGTGCCTGCTCAAGTCAGATCTTATATCTACTAAATTTTCTAATGACAACTCTGAAGGTTTTTTTTTGGGGGGGGAGGGGGTTACCTTTTGGTTTTAGTCTCTTAACACTCAAATGAAAAGCGCTCGGCGTGAATTATTTTGAATCTTATTTCTTGAATTCTGTTATTGTTAGTCATGGTAAGATCTATTAATAGATCACAAATTTGTTGCATTTTACACTATGATAAAGAAAACATGAAACATTTACTATTGAGAACGACTAACAAAGATGTATTTGATGGAATTTATTTACTTGTTATGTATTAAGATGGCCAAAATGAATTAAGGTTAATCAACTTGTGTAGCCATTTTTTTTTTTGTCGTCGAAGCGTAACCATTCTAATGGGCGAACTGTGGCGGGAACTGATATTACCTCTCGGGGAGGAGATATTTGATTGGATATTATCAGCATTGATGCCGAGGCATTGCAATCCAACTGAAATTTTTGAACGCTATATTATTTATCTACAGATATTCTCAATGTAGTGTTGAAAGTAATCCCGCATTGCATTTGTATTGCTTTACTTTGCTCTGATTGGTCCAGAACACTCGCACCACTCTCTCAACCAATCAGATGCAAAACTAAAACTAATCACGACTTGGTCGCCCTCGTTTTCCAGCGCTTTAGGCGGTTTGGTTTTTTTACTTTGAATTCCCATTGGCCCTTAAAAGTATTTTCATCTCTTTGGATTGGCCGTTGTAATTACTTTGGATTTTGTTTTACGACTCGCATTCGAAGTGCGCAATCGGTTGGTTAATAATTGAGGGTTGAATAGGAACAGGCGTTATCTGGTTCAGTAACTATAATTAACCAACCGATAGCGATAACTGATATATATAATCATATCCGTACACTGAACTCTATTCGACACATCTAAAATATATATAAGATTGCCAAAGTGCTGGATAGTGCATTATCCTGAGCTGAGACGAATTCGAGGTCCATTAAAACGTTAAATAGGAACGTGGCTAATATCTGCGTTGGCAGGGGTGGGGAGGGTATGACATGATAAGTTAGTTTTGTTAATTTAGTTAATATTGTAAAGTTTGGCCACCAAAATGATTGGTGGTACGAGCTTTAGCCCTTCGTAAGAGCATGCCAAACTGTGATGAGTTTCGCTAAAGTTACAAAAATTGGTAGGACTGTCGACGAAGAGACAGTCCGCGCACGCGTGATAAGAATTCCTCCATGTCATCGACGTCGTCCTCCTCAGGCCCCTCTTCTTTCTTGGCAGATGGAGGAATGGGTTCCAGGTGAGCACTGAAATGACGCAAGACTTCCGGGGCCCAGGTGATTCTGTATCCGTTAACCTTTCTTTTGTGTCTGTATACGTATTGCAATACTTCGGCGACGTACCTATAAAATGGACAAAGCCGTAATCAAAATTTGACCCACGATCAGGAATCCTAGCGCTTTGAAACTACCAACGTACAAACACAAATTCGGTACTCACTTCATGTGTGACTCAGTATACGTCCTTCGTGGTATGGCAAGGCGTAGCAGTTCTCCATTTTCGTCGTCTTCTAGCTCATGGTCGTTTTCAAGAATCTTTTCATCCTTTCCATGCATCACCCCACCTAACTCACCACATCGAATTCCTCCTAAGAAGTTAAAGAAGTAGGAATAAGCGGCGGAATAAGTGCAGTAAGAAGTACACTGTCCCACGCACCTTCCAATTTTGTTTTCTGGTAATGAAGTAAAAAGCACGCCTTACTGTGCTTAGACTACTATCGTATGAAATGTATAATATTTTTTATAGATCTTCTTGAAAACTGTATGCTAATAGATTGCGATTTGAAATTTAATGTTATTCTAAGTGAATGAGTGCACCATTAGAATGCTACATCATTCCATCATTACTGATAGAAATGTGTACACGTTTCTTGTCATAATAGGATAAAAAAAAAAAGTAGTTAGGGACTAGAAACGGGCCCCTTGGACCAGTCACTATTTATTACCTGGACGTGGGGTAGAGGTGGGGGGGGGGCTTGGATTTCAGGTTTGAACAGGTGGAATCAGTCGTCGCCAACAGAGTAGAAAGGGGCAGACTCTAGAAAATTGACTGCTAATTAAATTCTAGTGAGGGGGGGGGGATCAAAACAATACAAAAGAGCCTTAAGGGCGTATCAGTTAAATTCTATCAGGACACAGACATAATCCATCTCCCCGCTCCGGGCGATAACTAATTAATGGCCGGTTTCCTAGATCTTCCTCGTGGGCTTCGGTTGTTTCTCAGTGATGTCCGCGCATTTCCTGGCGAATAAAATAACTTAACAGGGAAACGTGATGAATCCCATAAAATCAAAGATCCCAAAGGCTTACACCCACCCATTAACACAAACTTTGATTTACCTTCCACATATAAAGCGCAACCCAAGGCCCAAGCTGGGAACTGCTCTTTGGGAATATGCGGCAACATAGCTGCGGCGTCGATGTAGACTGCATGTCCACCTGGTGGAGTTAACACGGGAATGTGATGTTCCTTCAGCAAATCTGCCAGCATTTTGACAAATCCAACTTGATACCGAAGGTAGTCTTCCTCTAAAACCTCGCGCAATCCTACGGCCATCGCTTCCAGATCTCTCCCCGCTAACCCGCCATAAGTGAGAAACCCCTCCGAGATGATCAACTCCCGGCGGCATTTGTCAGCAAGATGCTCGTCGTTCATGGCCAAAAATCCCCCAATATTCACCAGACCATCTTTCTTGGCAGACATGGTACAGCCATCAGCGTACGAGAACATCTCACGCGCGATTTGGAGCGGCGTGCGATATGCATAAGCCTCTTCACGCGTTTTTATGAACCACGCATTTTCCGCAAAACGGCAGGCGTCGAGAAAAAACGGAATTCCGTGCAAGTGGCAGATCTTGGAAACTGCTTTGATATTCTCCATACTGACGGGCTCTCCACCGATAGCGTTGTTAGTAATCGTGATCATTGCCATAGAAACGCTTTCTTTCATGTCCCCCGACAGTAACTCTTTTAGTTTGTCGACGTCCATATTTCCTCTGAACGGAATTTTTACTTTAGTATCGAGGGCCTCGGGGACTGGCAAATTTAGCGCTTTAGCTCCGCAGTTTTCTACGTTGGCCTGTGTTGTATCAAAATGCGCGTTGTTTGGGACCACATCCCCTTCCTTGAGACTGCACTGAAATAAGATCCTCTCGGCAGCGCGGCCCTGGTGCGTAGGGATCACGTGACGGAAGCCGAAGATTTCTTTCACTACTGCTTCAAACTTCCGGTAGCTTGGTGAGCCTGCATAAGACTCATCACCGTTCATGATAGCAGCCCACTGGTCAGAACTCATGGCGCCCGTACCAGAATCTGTCAACAGATCAATAATGATGTCTTCAGAGTTTAGCATGAAGGGATTGAAATTTGCCTCTTCAAGACGTTGGACCCGCTGAGCTCTTGTGGTATGTTGTATCTTCTCAACTGATTTGATACGGAATGGCTCGAAGAACGTTTGAAAACTATGCTCTTTTAAATCCATTGGTTCTGACTCCTATACGGGAAGGAAAAAGATACAACTTTTCTTTTTTCTTTTAAGAGTAAAACTTTAAGTCTTCAAAATCTAATAAGATCTAATAAGAGAATCCTTAATTAAAGTATATCGATAATTACATAATTACGTAGAAAAATTATCAATATCGATGATAAGAGAAGAATGAAGGAGAGCGGCTTTGTGGAAGACTTAAATACAGAAAGGATTTCACTAAGTATTGAATACTTAAGATATTTTACTTTTGGAATAATCTTGTGTATGTAAGAAAAGGAATTTTCGCTGTCTATAATACTAAGCAGTAAATTTTATATTCAAATCTAAAATGTTCTTTTGCATACTCCCTTAGCCGGAGAGCATGGTTTCTCATTCCATAGTCTTGCATCAATCCTTTAGGAGGTATTTTTGTACTACAAGGTTTAAGTTTTTTCAAGCAGAAATTATCAGAAGTATAATTAATATTCTGACGAAAATATCCGAAATCTGCTATAATAGGTGAAACAACTGCGAACGACTCCGAGTTTCCTTCTTTTCAATAACGAAAGGAAATTTGTTTTTGTGAGCTCTAGATCAACTAGTTTGGCGATATATACCATACAAAGGCAGTGATCGTTTTGACCTGTTAGAAAAAATATAAGAGAAAGGGATATCATAATCATTTGATAATAACTATTTCGGTATGAAAACAGGGAAAAGAGTTGTGAAAATTGGTTTTACAATTACCCAAACGAACAGAAGTAGAACAAGCCGTCTTTTTGCCAACTTTCCGATATACCTGTTCCCCCTACTGAAGAACTAAGCTCAGCGTCTAACCCCTTAATCAATTTAAGAAGGACATTTCCCAGTTTCTAGCTATTTTGATTACGCTAGAATAGAAGGAATATTTGCTTCCGTTTACTGAAATTAAAGCCTTAATTTGATTACGCCTTGAATACGCGTAAAACATTTGAGTGCGTACGCTTTATTTTGTCAACAGCCTCAGGGATGTTTACAAAATGGAGCGTCTACTCTTCAAATGTTCACATAATGTTTTTTTTTTTTTAACAAACACATCCTACCCTTTGAAATTAGTCGTTTTCCTCAACTTAGAACGATACCGATAAACTGATGATGAAAAATTTTGCAAAAATGAAAATTAGACCTATATGGGAGAACATAAAAACTAACACCAGAACTGGAATCCATTACAAGTTGTGGAAGCTACGAATGTTTTTTTAGGTATCTAATAAATGCAACTTGTTACAACCACTGACATGGATGAGAGATTTACTTTTGTGGTCGCTCTTCCTTGAGGAATATCTTCTTTAGAGTGGAAAACCTTCAGCTCTTCAACCTGTAAAATGAGTTCTCGCATTTTCAACGGATGTTTTACTTCTTTTTATTTACAATTCTCCCGGAAGAATCCTGTTAAAAGATACAATTTCAAACGTCACTTAGGTGGCGAACGTAATATATTTTGAAAGTACAAACTTGTCTTTCGCAACTTGTTTATCTTTTTGTCGAAACATGTCGAAAATAAGTAGGACAGATCGAATAAAATTAAGTAAGGGAAATTTTGCAACGGTACACTGTTCAGGTATTTACTTCTGCCGTTAATTAAATTTCACAACAATTTTCAAGTGCAACATGTCAAAGACCTTAGAGATAACTTACGGATAACGTAACTCCCATGCGTGTAGATAATGATAAAGATGATAAGGAAATTATACTGTCTTCTTTAACTTCGTTGTTCTTGCTGCAGTTTGCAACTCAAGTCTTTCCTCGCACAATCTAGCCTTTCGTTGCAGTAGAGTTCCACCTTTGTCTAGAAAATTATGAAAACCGAATTTGCCCCCTCTTACAGATAAAACAAAACATCTTTATTCCGTGTTTTCATTTTTGTATTGTTTTTAACTCGTTAGCCCTTAAGAGTGTCCAGCTTCCAATTTCACCTGATAAAATCGCCCCCGAATCAAAGGTAAAGGTCATGAAGACAAAGGAAATGATCACCAATTTAAGAAGCACCTGATTTTCCAAAATAATATCCTTGTAAATGTTTTAGGTAAAGAGAACATTGTGCAGAATGTAAATGTGAATATTCGGTGGTTAAAAATCAGACCAAAGGCATTTCATTGTTACGAAACGGCAAAAATTTGCTGACTAGGCCTCGAATCAGTCAAAATTTCTTAAATTGCTCGAAAAATATCATGTAAATACGGTGGCACCCATAAACGTAGGGGTTTAACTGAAACCACTCAGAATCGATAAGTGAGCTCTGATATAAAGCAGGCTGCAAACAATCAAACCGATATAAATTCTACATTTTGGAATATAGTCTCTCTCACATGATGTAAAATGTTTATAAAAAAAACTTACAAGAGTCACTGTTTCACGATCAGTCAATTTTTCAGTTTAGCCAAAAAAAGTGACGCATAAAATAGCGACTTCTTACCTTGAAAAGGTGCAATTACCAACGCAACTGGTAGCGATTTTTTTCTGTACCAGACAATTGTGGAACAACAAGCTTTTCTTGCACTAACTCTGCCGGAGAAGCAAAGTAACTAATCCAAGGTTTTCTGTGAGAGGTTTTTCGTTCAGTACCATCGCATTTTTAAATTCTTCCATTGACATAAAGGTGTGTTCCTTGTCCAAGTGTTATGTAATCTAAGACGCTTATAAAGGGGAAGCGACGACGCCATAAACAAACTTAACAATCGGAAAGTACACAACGTAAATCGATTTATTTTTTGATAAATTCCGCCAATTTCGTCATATTTGATTTTCATTATCTAATTTTTTTTCAGCATACAGAAAGCGTTGCTCAAGACTCGTATCAAGAACAGATGTTTTCGAATCCCAAAAGAGAATATAGCCATTGCCCATGGTTTCTATACAAATTCTTGAATGAACACATCCGTTGATTATAAAACTCGTGTATGTAGTACCTCATAAAATTTTCATTTACTGTACAACCTCTTTTCCGCAGTGTTTTTTCCTTTCAAATGTGAATAAGATGTGGCACTCTGAGGAAGATTTTGATAATGTATGAGGCAAAGGAATAGTATGGCAAACTAAAAATTATCATCACAATGTCGGGAACTGAGGCGCATTTTGCGGGCTATAATGGAGAGTTTTGCGGATTAAAAAGTATTTTAGCTCGCTCACACGCTGGTGTGACTGTTCAGATTATTTTGTTTTCATTCTCTTAGGTTTTCCTTCCTCAATTTCCTCCAAAGTGATATGATAATTTGTTCTAGGGCATGAAATTTGTTTTAGGTCTTTCTCAGGAACATTTTAATTCTCTCCTTGCGGCTCGGGCTAAAATGACTCTGAGTTGGAGCCAAACACATTTATGCCCGCAAATATAAACTGTATCGTTTATTCAGTCAAGTTTTTCTTACAAAGGCTGTTCTCAGAGTATTGCCACTCATATGTACAGAATAAAACGAATTTCGACGCACCTAAAATAAGAATATTGCAAAATTCAACAAGCGGCCGGAAAGAGCCATGGAAAAATTATTGAACTATCATGACTTTCCGGTAAGAAGGAATTAGACTTCAATTCCGGGTTTTAAGTTTATTTGAATCTTGTGTATGACAAACCCTTGCTTTTAAGTTTTCACAAAAGCTTTTGGGATAGTAATAAAATAAGTATACTACGTGCCTCAACAGAAAAGATTAATTCTACATTGGATATATTTCACAATAGTCAGTGAGTTTACGAGCATTCTTCTCGCAATACAGGAAATGGTCATTCACATAACGCGAATTCCAAGCAATTATCTTCCCTCGATTCCAAAGCCGTTCTCATGTTCCTGGTTTGGCGGGAAAATAGGTTCAAGATGAGCACTGAAATGACGTAATACAGCAGGAGCCCACGTGATTCTATAACCGCCGACTTCGTTTTTATGTCTGTTAACGTACTCCAATACTTCAGCGGTATACCTACAGTAAACACACCATGATGAAATGATTTATGAGAACTACGCGTGTTTGATAGTTCGTTTAGACGGCTAAAGAAGACAGGGTTTGCCCGAAGTATTAATCTTATGCTGTTCACCTGTTTTTTTCTATCCATTCAAGTAAAAATCTCGATAATAACAATAATAACAATAATAATTATCATAACAGTTGAAAACTAACAGAAGCTGCCTTCCCCCGCTCTCCCTCCCCCCCTCCCCCCATGCAAAAGTTGAAAGGTCCACCCCTGGACTCATAGGTTAATAAGTACGTACCTCATGTGTGACTCAGTATATGTCCTGCGTGGAATTGCAAGGCGAAGAAGTTCCCTCTTTCCATCTTCTAGTTCGTGACCGTTTTCCAAGCCTTTATCATCTCTACCGAACATTACACCGCCCAGCTCACCACAACGAATACCACCTGAAAAATACATATATCATCAATGGCTTCTTTACAGATACAGCGCAATCAATGTTTGCCGACTTTCCCTTAAATGCCTATTCGTAGCTTCAAAGTCTCCTTCCTATTATTTGAAAAAAGGGTCAAGGGGGGCTTTCATTGAGTTATAACTTGTAAACAAAGCTTTCAGGTCATTAGTGTAGTGTTTTAGTTAATCATTTACCTTAGCTAATTAATATTCTTATGCTATATATATACATGCTGTACATATGTGATCTGTTAATCTGGAATGTAATCACGTGATACCCGTATCCACATTTAGGTATGATTCCTGTGTAATAATAGTTTAGTTGAATAAAGACTTGTGCGCGACTAGAGCTCTGCGTCCACGAGTATAACTCTCTATCGCAATATTACCGAACCCAAGAACTCGTCAATTCGAAGCACCTAGATTCCACGCTTCTACCTAAGAGTAGTTTTATTTGAGATTCAACAGTAATCCGGCGAGTCAAAAGTATGTTTGGTACGGAACAGGTATGTCTAGTCTCACTCTGTGATTGGCGCTAACCTATCTTCTAGTATGACAACAGATGGCGCGCTATTCGACTGAGCGCCGTCAAACCAAAACCAGATTATAATGGCCAATTAGACGAAAGGAAAATATCTTGAGGAGCCGAGGAGAAATCAAAGTAAAAACAAAACAAAACAAACCACCTAAAGCGCGGGAAAACGCGGGCGATCAAAACGTTATTTAGGTTGGCTGTACATCTGTTTGGTTGAGAGGGAGGCGCGAGTTTTTTTAACCAATCACAGTGCAGAGTAAAAGGAATAAAAGGAAGCCATTGCAATCTCAGATAACTTTCGACACTTCATCTAAAACTGCTCTTGTGTGTAACCTCGAGTTCGTCTCTTAGGTTTTCCCGCGCTTCAAGCAGTTTGCATTTTTTTACTTCATGTACAATTTGCAGTATTTACCTATGCTCTACCTTGGCCATCATTCGTGTTTTGTCAAAGAACGCGCAAACATCCTAGTATAGCTCGCATGAGATTTTCGGCTTTTGTTTATTTTGTTCTGTATTCGTGCCATCTTTTGAAGCAACTGATTTAAAATGTTTGTACCAAACAGCGCTTGATTAATTCTAGTGAGTAAAGAAACTTGGGCGCCATCGCCCACCATCTGATCAAAATATATGTATCATTAGCTACTATTACTTTACCTTCAACATATAAAGCGCAACCCAAAGCCCAAGCTGGGAACTGCTCTCTAGGAATATGCGGTAACATAGCTGCTGCGTCGATGTAGACTGCATGTCCACCTGGTGGCATTAACACGGGGATATGATGTTCCTTCAGCAAATCTGCCAGCATTTTGACAAATCCAACTCGATATTGAAGATATTCTTCCTCTAGGCTCTCGCGCAACCCAACAGCCATCGCCTCGAGATCTCTTCCAGCGAGCCCGCCATAAGTGAGAAACCCCTCGGATATCATCAATTCCTGGCGGCATTTATCGGCGAGTTGCCCGTCATTCATGGCCAGAAATCCCCCAATATTCACGAGGCCATCTTTCTTGGCAGACATGGTACAGCCATCGGCGTAAGAAAACATCTCGCGAGCGATTTCAAACGGCGTGCGATGCGTATACCCTTTCTCAAACATTTTGATGAAGCAAGCATTTTCGGCAAAACGGCATGCGTCGAGAAAGAAGGGGACTCCGCGAGAGCGGCAAATCTTGGAAACCATTCTAATATTCTCCATACTGACGGGCATTCCACCAGTGGCATTGTTAGTTACTGTTATCATCACCAACGTAACATGCTCTTTTAGCCCATTCGACAGCAACTCTGTCAATTTTTTGATGTCCATGTTGCCACCGAACGGAGTACATACCTCTGGATTCAAGGCTTCAGAAACTGGCAAATCTATAGCTTTAGCTCCCCGTTTCTCCACGTTGGCCTGAGTTGTATCGAAGTGAGCGTTGTTTGGGACCACATCCCCTTCCTTGAGACTGCACTGGAATAAGATCCTCTCGGCAGCGCGGCCCTGGTGCGTAGGGATCACGTGACGGAAGCCGAAGATTTCTTTCACTACTGCTTCAAACTTCCTGTAGCTTGGTGAGCCTGCATAAGACTCGTCACCTTTCATGATAGCGGCCCACTGGTCAGAACTCATGGCCCCGGTGCCAGAATCTGTCAACAGATCGATAATGATGTCTTCAGAATTCAACATGAAGGGATTAAAATTTGCCTCTTCTAGACGCTGAATTCGCTGAGCTCTTGTGGTATGTTGTATCTTCTCAACTGATTTGATACGGAATGGCTCGAAGAACGTTTGAAATCTGTGCTCTGAGGACTTCATTAATGATGATTTCTTCTAAATCCTTTAGTATTCGCAACCTCGTTCCTAGACTCCTGTCCTTGGAGAGGAAGAGAGAGAGACAACGTGTCAACAAATCAATAGGGTTTGTCATTGTTCCACTATTACACCACTTTATCATATCAGAGCATCAGAGGGAAAAAACATGCCACGGTATTGCATTGAAGGATTGAGCAAAAATACAGAAGGAGCGCGAAGCAACAGAATGCCCTCTTTGGGCCATGCAAAAAATAATTTTCCCCCCCTTATTTTAGACTTTTGCCCGCACCTTATGGAATCGATGCGACGCTGATTCAAGGCATTAAAAAGTATTTCAAAAATACTACAAGCCAACATACTAGAAAATGAAATAATAGTGGAGTAATTTATTCCTAATTCGGAAGAATCAGTTTTAATTACTTCAAAAGCGGAACTCCGCAGGAAACGACGTATGATGTCATGATCGTTGGCCGCACTACCTTGGTAACATGGATAGGGATTTCACGGAGTGGCGCGGAGTTAAGTGCGGTGAATCGTAATTCTTGATATGATGTTGATTGATGCAGTTTTGCAGTTGTTTGGTTTTTTAAGTGCTCCTTGAAGAGCTAATAATCTTCACCACAAATGTGACCGTCATAAGTTGGACCGATACATTCAGAAGTAGCACAGGTGGTAATTGAAATTTGATACACAATCCTCTTCATTCTTGTCAAAACATTGATACTAGCACCATTAGTTATTTTCCTGTCACTCAGAAGTGCTCGTGAGCGAAAGCTTAGCCGAGGTATAGCCGCTAGATAAGAACATTCAACACCTTTATTCACCTCAGCTCTCTCTCCATTGTAACCCGTAGGATAAGAGGCTCGAATAATGACGTAGCTCTAAATACACTTCACAGAAACGACTTAATAAAGAATGTAGATGAGCAAGAAACTATTTTCGTCAACCGTGCCTTTTAAGAATCGTCTTTCTGGTTAACTCTAACGTTAGGTTCATTGCAAAACTTCCACAAGCGTGGATTGCTCAACTAATAGCTAATGAAAACTGCTACAACGAAAGCCACCGGAAGCCAACGAAAACGAGTAATAATCCAGATTCCTGGTTTACTGACCACATTAAGTTTCTCCCTTCCTTACGACTTGACGAGTATTACTTTCCCAAATATTTTCCCGTCCAGTCCTGGTAGGGCTGGATGGGAAAATATTTGGCTCCAAGCCATGACGTACGGACAGAGCGCAGCATTTACTCAGCTTTACTGAAGATTATAGAGGTAGACTGCCTCATCAAAGAAAGAGTTGACGAGGAAAAGAGTCCTCGTGGTTGCTTGAGAAAAATTTCGTCAGGAATGAAAGAGTTGAGTGGCCTTTAAGAAGTACAACGAGATGAAGACACTAATTGCTTGACCAGGACATCAACGATAAAGATATCGACGTAACATGATTAAAAACGTCCTTTCAGAGAATTGTTTGTTGATCATGATGAAGACTGAGTTGTATCAATTGAGGACTGAAATTACCAAGTTTTAGCGAGTAATCAACGAGTGCAAAGGAGAAAAAGGAAAGAAAACCTTTAACATAGCCAGAGCTGTTATAGGGGACCTTTTAATAACGTTGGACCTTCAGAACATTGTCAGCAAAAGAGAGAAAATTGTTTCTCAAATGAAGCGATTTACGGTGTGTATGGAACTAAATCCATGTATTTGAACAGTTGGAAAGTGTGTGTCAAAAATAGGTCACTATACCCCCTGAGTTGCGCTTTAGGAAATTATCGCAAAACTTTTAAATACTCTTAGGTATCTTGATCACCATTCCTTACATCGATTCATAGTTCGATAGGTTCTCTTCATTACAGTGATGATAGTTTGTTTCACGGCTACACGGATACTTAACTAGTTCTCGGCGGAAGACTTTAGTCACGGGAGGGGAGGCCGGGGGGTGTAGCTGGCTAAAGGTCTATCATTTTACTTACTTTGCCCGAAGGAACGGAAACTCGTCTCTACTTTCTGGTGCACTAAGAGCTTCTTCAAGACCTTCTCTCAAGGACATTCAGAATTAGACAGAACTTGCTTTGCAGTGTATCTGCCTATAAACTATCGAATACGTGCTCCTGTTGTTAGACTAATTACATCATTTAAAACCACTCACAAAAGGAGCAGGAAGTACGTCTTCGAAGTTAAGTGCTTCATGGGTAGATAGTTTATTTGCTATTACGAAGAGTAAAGTAATCATTCACAGATAAACGATTTCAAGTTGAATGTTCACGTGCTTTTGAAGTTCTTTTGTCAATACCTTTTTACCCACTCCACAGGTAGCCCAGGTATGACATAGAATTTCTTCTCCTTCCCAGGCACCTAACACCTTTTTTATGCTATCTATTGCCACTGGAAGTTTACATCAGTGTCCATTTGCATTGAAATTCTAAAGCAAACACTGGAAACTTTGATACCTTTTTTTTTGTCTTTTGTATAGTAGATAGAAAATTGAATTCTCTGCTGGCTGGGTTTGTCTGCGTTTCAAACGCGTGGGCGGTGTTTCAAAAGACCAACAAAGGCATAGGAAGTACTTCTCTGAGGTCAAGTGAGTTCTGGGTGAATATTCCATTTTCCATTAGTAATCAGTATTACACTGAGGAACTCAGTGCTTTACTGCAAAGGATGAAGATTATAGAAGTAGACCACCCTATCTACGAAACAGCTGACAACGAAAAGAGTCCTCGTGGTTGCTCGAGAAAAAGTTCGTCAGGAATGAAGGAGTTGAGCGGCCTTGAAGGAGTACAACGAGACGAAAACACTAAATTCTTGAACAGGACATCAACGATAAAGATATCGACGCAACATGATTAAAAACGCCCTTTCAGAGAATTGTTTGTTGATGAAGACTGAGTTGTATCAATTAAGGACTAAAATTGCCAAGGTTTAAGGAGTAATCAATGGGTGACCTTTTAAAAACGTTGGGCCGACAGAGCATCGTCAGTAAAAAGAGAGAAAATTATTTCTCTACTGGAAAGCGAGTTACGATGTGTATGGAACTGAATTCAAGTATGTGAACAGTTTGAAAGTGTGTGACCAAAATAGGTCACTTTACCTCCTGAGTTGCGCCTTGGAAAACTGTCGCAAAGCTTTTAGATACTCTTAGGAATCTTGATCACCATTCCTTACATCGATTTACAGTTCCATACGTTTTGTTCATTACAGTGATGATAGGCTTTTTTACGGCTACACGGATACTTAACTAGTTCTCGAAAGAAAGAATTTAGTCACAGTGGGAAAGGGGGGTTGAAGCTGGCTAAAGGTCTCTTTTACTTACTTTGCCTGAGGAACAGAAACTCGTCACCACTTTCTGCTGTACTAATAGCTTCTTCAAGACCTTCTCTCAAGGAGGTTCAGGATTACACAAAACTTACTTTGTAGCGTATCTGCCCATAAACTATCGAATACGTGTTACTTACATCATTTAAAAAACACTAACAAAAGTACGGCGGTAAGTGCGTCTTTGAAGTTGAGTGCTCAGTTAGGGGTAGATAGTTTATTTGCTATTACAAAGCGTAGAATAATTTTTTACATATAAACGATTTCAAGTTGAATATTCATGTGCTCTTGAAGTTCTTTCGTCAATACCTTTTTACCCACTCCACAGGTAGCCCAGGCATGACATATGTGTTTTTCTGGTTCCTAGGCACCTAACCTCGTTCCCAGGGCTTTTCTCTTTTTGAATATTTTGGAAGGGAAAAGCCGTGGGAACGAGGTTGGCCTATGTACATCTAACTCCGCTGGGAGTTTATACCAGTGCCCATTTGCAATGAAATTCTGATGCAAACACTGATGCTGTACACTGGTATAACAAATAAAACATTGATTTCTCTGCTGGTTTGTCTGCGTTTCAGACGCGTGGGAAGTATTTCAGTCAAAAGACTAACAAAGGGATAGGAAGTACTTCTCCGAGGTTAAGTGATTTCTGGGCGAATATTCCATTTGGCGTTAGTAATTAGTGCTGCACTGAAGGACTGAGAAAAAATACAGAACGAGAGTGAAGCGACAGAATGGCCTCTGTGGCCACATATTTTAGGCTTTTGCCCGCGCCTTATTGAATCGATGCGACGCTCATTCAAGGCATTAAGAAGTATTTAAAAAATACTACAAGCCAAAATAATAGTTAATAAAATAAGAGTGGAGTAGTTTGTCCCTAATTCGGAAGAATCAGTTTTAATTGCTTTAAAAGCTGAACTCCGTAGATCGAAACGCCTTATGAAGTCATGATCATTGGCCGCGCAACCTTGGTAACATGGATGGAAGTTTCACGGCGTGGCGCGGAGTTAGGTGCTGTGAGGTGGAATTCTTGTTATGATGTTGATTGATGCAGTGTTGCAGTTGTTTGCGTTTTTATGGTTTTTTTGTGGTGCTTCTTGAAGAGCTAATAATCTTCACCACAAATGTGACCGTCATAAGTTGGACCGATACATTCAGAAGTAGCAGAAGTGGTAACTGAAATTTGATACACAATCCTCTTCATTCTTACCAAAACATCGATACTAGCACCATTAGTTATTTTCCTGTCACTTAGAAGTGCTCGTCAACGAAAGCTGAGGTGTAGCCGCTGAATAAGGATATTCAACACCTTTATTCACCTCAGTTCTCTCCTCCTTGTAACCCATGCGTCTTTGAAGTTGAGTGCTTCATGGGTAGATCTGCTACTACGAAGCGTAAAATAATTCTTTAGAGATAAACGATTTCAAGTTGAATATTCATGTGCTCTTGAACTTCTTTCGTCAATACCTTTTTGCCCACACCACAGGTAACCAAGCGTGACACACAAATTCTTTTGCACCATACTTTTGATTCCCAACAGCAGGGTTTCGTACACATATAGCTTACACACAGCTTACTTTACTGAGAAACAACTTTCATATTTACGAAATGCATCTCGAGGGATACCTCCTAAATAGTGACCGATCTGTGTTTTTCAGGCCTGGGTTGGAGGGTGATAATTTCATCGTGACAAAAGCCCGCCACTATCGAGAGCCATAACTTTCCTAGGTGATTATTGGTCTGCTAGATTTTGAGGTTTCGCACTGATACGATGCACTCTTGCCATGTTGTTGTTGGGTTACATTATTATGTGGTGTTGTTTTGAAGATGTGTGATGAAGTTTTGCCATTATGTCGTGTAATCTTGTCCTCACGTGATTAAGTTTCAACGATACGTGATGGTTTATATCATTAGGTGGTGTGGTTTTATCGTGATGCGATGGGGATACTTCACTAGGTTTTGCGGTTTTGTCATTAGGTAATGCGGTTACATTGTTTTGGTTCCGTATTTTTCCCAGTACATACTCTTCGGCAGGAAGAAGAAGAAGAAGGCTCCAAAACCTTATCTAGGTCACCGTCGGTTATTTCTGTGAATTGTAATTGACTAACTTTTGTTATCAATTTTCTTTCCGCTGAAGAGTACCCACTAGGACCCATTTTACAACAGGTTAAAACTTAAAACCCTTTCCCAAGATCGAGTAAAGCCTGGGCTCCGAGGATTTGCACCGGAAGTGAAACAATTGAAGTCATGAAATAATCTCCAAACTACATCACTCAGTGCAGTAACCTCACCACGTCACGATAAAACCAGATAAAGAAAATACCGGACCACATAACTGTGTATCCACATTACATAAAGACAAAACCACAAAACATAATGAAGTATCCTCGTCGCATCACGATAAAACCTCACCTCCTAATGATGTAAACGCATCACGTATCGTCGAAACTTCGTCACGTAAGGAACATTCGGAACACGCTGGAACACCGGAACATGAAAAATAAAACATTATGGCAATGCTAAAAAAATACAATTAAAAAAGACTGTAACGACGCATAGAAAATAGTACTTATGGTGTATTGTTTGCACCCTTCGTGAGTCTAGTCTGCCATCTTGATTTTCCGCTCATTGATAACTTCGTCTCGGATCCGGATGCTTCGCGGTTTTTTTTAAATCATCGCAAACCAAGAGTTTATATCAGTGTCCATTCGTTATGAGAGTCTGCTGCAACCACTTCAATTTCTGATCAATTTTTTCTCTTATGTTTGGTTAATAAGAATTTATCTCTATGCTGATGTCTCAACCCCATTCCCAGGGCCTTTTCCCCAACCAAGGGAAAAGGCCCTGGGAACGAGGTTGGATATGTCTGAGTCAGACGCGGGAAGGTCAGTCTTTGCTCAAAGGCTTAACAGACGGTGGTGGAAAGTTTTGCACGGTAGACTGCTGGTAACAACAGACGATAAACAAGTGAAAATTCAAAGACTCCCGGTTTGCACCACTTAATGTTGAGATTAGATCAGAAAAAATGATCACGGTTCTCGGGTTAAGAAACTATCAACTCGTGATCTGTTGATTTCCATCAACTATTTTCAATATCTTGAAAGTGAGGAAAAGTCATTATGGGCCAAAAGATTATATAGCTCAACTTTTAGTAGAACACCTTTTTGCGCTCGAGTTTATATTTGAGAGGAGGACCATATAAGATAAGTCAATGTTCAAGTATTGAGGGAAAGATCATTTGTGGAGGTAAGAGAACGACTCGGAAAGATCTCAAGGCTTTCTCAGTTTTAACTCGCATTTAGGAAAAATCAGTGTATCTTTCACTCATTCATCGTTTTGAAGAATATTGTGATTAACTACGCCATGTTTATGGTTAATTCTCCTCAACAATTTGTTCGTTGTCAAAAGGTGACCGAGGTTTTGAGTTCTAGTACGAATACCTCTACACTTTTGACAAGTCTTTGCAAGTCCGTTCAATTTTCTGAACATTTGTTCCACAAATTACGCAACAGAAATCGAAGGAATCCAATAATTGAATCCACTTGTTTGTAGTTTAGGTGTCTCATTTTATTTAAGTTTTTTTTTTTTCTGAAAGAAAGACCTGATTTACCCACCTGCCACTAGCAGCAAACAAACGAAAAAACTCTCACAACTTCAAAACACGCATTTGAATTTGCTCACAATTACTTTCCCTACCATTTATCGACTGAGCAGGGGTAAATAGTTGTAGATTAATCGTGGATGCAAGTGAATAATACTTTCCGTAATATCATTGACTATTTAAAAAAAAAAAATTATCGTGACAGTCAATAAACTTGAGTTTATTTGCCAAACCAGAATCTTATGGCCTAGACTAAGTCATAAGCTTCTGGCCAAACCAGTACCGTAGTTTTTTAAAAATGGTAAACACCGCAGCGTACACTATTGAGTTATGGATGCACTTGGGAGGTTTGCTGAGCACTCACTGAAGAAGTTAGAGTCGCACTCGGCTATCTCCTCGAGCGACTCCTCTGCTTACGCTGTGCTATTTACCATTTGTTTTGTAGAATAAAAACAATTTCTGGTTAACATTTGCTCACTTGGAAACATTTGCCCACTTGGAAACATTTGCGCACGTCGGCATCATACATCCACGGGCAAATAGCAGGCAGACACTGAATTGACCAATCAGAGCGCGTGCTTTACGTGATTTACGTTGTAATTTCTGAAAGTGTACTTTTCTTTCTTACGCTCTCTCTAATTGACAGGTGTCAAATCGTGACAGAAACTTATTAAAAAATGTTACAAAGTTTGCTTGTAAGCCTTTTAAATCACCTTTATCACTACGAAAATAAAAATGTTTCAGTGAAGCCTATCTCTTTAATTTGCATTTGCTCCGTTTTCTTTATTATCTTCTCGCTCACAAGTTGATCAGTTTATGGAGGATCTTATAGTAATTACAGCTCTAAGTAATTCGGGTTCCTTTGGCACGCATTTCGTTAACGTAAGAATTAAGATAAAAAAATAAAAATGTTATTCACTAGCCTAGGTCGTTCTGTATTTGAAAAAAACTGCGCCCTCTGTCTTGAGTACCACTCTCGATCGGGCACATTTTTTCCCAATACGGACCTACCGACTGGTTAATAACGTATAGTTACGTAATCCTGGCGGTTAGATTTCGAAATCAGAAAACAATTTCCAGGAACTGTGAACATTGCAAACACAATCGATACAACGTAAGTGTAGCATAAACAATATTGAATATTTTTTGTATATCTTTGTACTGACCATAATGACAAGAAAACCCATGGTAACCATTATAGTTGACAACGCCACACGGTACGCAGCTTTCTTGTAGTAAAAGTAGCAACGTAGGGAACACTTGATACAGCATTATTAACAATGTGAAACAAAAGCTAATGTTCTCGGAGACAGGTGAGCTGGTCGAATTAAAATGGTAACATACACACATTACGCGCCTTTCAGGACTACTGTTTTTAAAAATTATCTCGAGGAAGAAGAGAAAAAAAAAAGGTGACTTACCTCGAAACTGAATCTAAGATGTACAACTTGTTCTGTTGTTAGGTTTAATTACTTAAAATAAGCCGTATTCTTCGAAATGCAAATTTGTCCTGGAAACGAACAAAAGTTTTTTCAACCATTTACGTATTTCACTCAGATGATTATCTTTTAAACAATCGATTTAAATTTTTTTTTAAGTGGTTG